TTTTGGACATTTTGGGGGGTGATTTTTCTATAAATATCAAGGTTACATTGATGGAAAATTGTGCCGAGTCATTTTGGAATCTGTAACTGATACTGATAGCCTTTTGTCAATAACAACTGTGAACAAGGCATGTGGAGGATAGCATTCAAATCCCAATTACACATTGCACTCCATCCAACTCACGTCTCAGATTCTTGTGCTTTGAGGGAGGTAATTGTTGTGAATTATTCAACATAGCCACTTTCCAGCCAGACGATCCACTTCAGGAAATATGAAAATCTCAAGGCAGGATTTTTACAGGCATGCCTAACCTTACGGAAATGTTGTGTTCATTTTCCCTACAGTGTTGTTAGCTCATTGAATGAAGAATTCATCTCTTGGAGAAAATTCCTTCACTGGCCAGATGTCGTCATGGCGATGATGGTAAATTTTCTTCTGTAATGACTGCCATATGTTTTGCTGTTGAGCCAAGTTGAATTCCTGACTGCTCCTGCAGGACTGGCACTGTGGGGAGTTTGTTCCTCCATGTTGTTGTTGTAGCCTGATTCAATTTGGCGGTCTTTTTGGCTGGATGTCATTCTGGGAAATGAAACTTCATTCTTTTCACTTTGTGACATTTGGGAGATTTGGTCGAGTAATAGTTGATGTTGACTGTGGCTCAACAAGACAGTGACATTATTGGTTTGTTATGAAGTTTGACGTCGGCATATTTTACACACTTCATTTGTCAGTCTTGCTGAAATTAGTATTGAAAGTTGCTTTTTTGTAATTTAATAAATAAATTAACATGGGCTATTTGCAGATCATTTAAAAATTTGCAAGAGGAATGTTCTTGTTGCAGTTTTTGTTTTCACAAACTGATGTTGATTGCTTGTGAAATTCCTTTATTTTCACCAAGCTTCACACGTTTTTTTCCCCTACATCAAATGCATTCCGGAGAATTTTATCCAACTTCACTCGGTAGCCAGCATTTGAGTAATATTGTGGTCTGTCATTAACAGGAGAGATCTGTCTTTTATTTCTAGCCAGGTTTTCTTATCCTTCCATTTAGAATTTCAATCCAGTAATTTGATACTGCGAATGCAGGCTTTATTTGCAGCCATTAACAGCAATGGACAGGGGTTACTACAAGCATGCCATGTGGTAGCCATGCTTTCTGATCTGCCTTGCTGTAACGGTTAGTCCATTCAAGCTGAGGCATATAGGTCAGGGCAGGGTCAGCGGCTACCTGACTGGCCACTGGCTGTCTGGGAAGTATAATGGAGTAGCAAAGAGGGGCGGGAGGAAGGAGGGGGCGATTGTAATTTATGGCCTCGGGATGAGAGGGACTCCACTCACTGGTCAAGCTTTGGTGTTGACCAACAGCCCTGGCCTTTATCTGCTCAACTGATAAACTGTGCTTTGGATCACTGCTTCTGGGGATAATGAGATTAGTGTACTTGCTATTATTTCAGGATGTCAGGGATTATATGGTTCTCTGTGATATGTGTTTGTCATTAAGGCACTACTGTAGCTTTGATTTTTGTTGTTGAAATGTTCAAAAGTAATATTGATGTGATGTTTGTGGTGAAATATTCAGCTGTTGTATGGAAAATAGTATTAAAAGTTTGTTGTTCCAGTAGTGTATTATTCAGGCTTAGAAGAATGGTCGTTCCACTGTAGGTGATATTGGCAGAGATGGCAATTTTCTGCCGATTTTATTTCAAAATTGCCCCCACTAGAACCCCCCATTTGATGGCACAAGTTTTCCGCTGAAAATAGATTTTCCTGTTGCCATCCCTGTATCGGGGCCCAGCATATTTTTTAGCTGATTTTAGTGCGGGTGTGCAGATTATTGCCAGTTCTACTCACTAGACCGACCCGACTTTAACTAGACTCGGGCACAGGACCAGTGGCTAAAGTCGCAGTCTGGTACGTGTGTTGCGGTGGTTTTGATGTCACCTTGCAGACAGGTTGTAAGCAGTGTGTAACAGACTCTACAACATATTTGGGTGTAGTTTTGACAGGCAGGCAGTAAGAAGTTGTCACTTGGCTCAGCTGTGCAAACCATAAGGATATGTGAGCGAGTTAGCAGAGAGAGTGTGTAGGTCTTGTGCCATCTACACTTACACAGGCAGCTCACTCCTCTGCTGGGAAAACAGCGAGGGAAAGGTTACCTTTGTTCTTCTACATATGCTGGAGAGGTGGAGGAGGTTGAGAAAAAATGTTCAGCTTGTAACCAGAGGACTTGTTAATGTGAGGAGGTGCAGTGATACGGAGGAGGGTATCTTACTGTGATGTGGAAATACTGCTTCATTTTGTGTCATTGTAGTCAGATTTGTTTTCCGACATTTTTTAATTGGTGTTATGTACACAATTGCTATTTTTTGAAGGCAGAAAGAGACATGTGGTTACCGTGTTATGATGTAGATATTGGCGTATTTACAAACTGGACATTCTAATTATTACCAGATTTCACGTCTTTTGATATTTTGAATGTCATTAGGCCATTATTATAATACACATTTGTATTATATGTTTTGTTACTCATCATATATATATGATTCATTATATATCTTGTTTATGGAGTTTATAGAACATTGTCACTGTTTCTGTATGGAACGTTTGCAAAATAAATATTTTATCTTTATCTTTATCTTTAGTCATTTTTGTAGAAAATAAACTGATGTGAAACAATGAAGCATTGAAATGTTCCTGTTGCTGCTATTTTGGTGAACAATTATTCTCAGAGCTTCACAAATTTTATATTAAAGGTAATTCTTTCATGCCTACATAGGTAGTACATGTTTTATTGGGGATTACACTTTCTCAGTAAAGTACATGGTCACATGGTCCAGACTCTGTTTACTGACCGTCGCCATATAGCTGGAAGATTGCTGAGTGTGGCATTAGACAACAAACAAAGAACACAAACAAACAGTAAAGTACAGATTCTAGTACTCTAAGGGGTCAAGTCCCATACAGGATTCAAACCCACACTCTCAGTAAGGTATGTTCTCCAGCGTACAAAGTCAGTGATCTAACCCACTAAGCCAACGTGGCTTCCACAAAAAGCATTTTTGTACATATGTAGGTTTTGAGAAAATTGTGAAAATTCATCTTTTTGAGTCTAGTTGGTTTTAACATCCTTTTAAGTGAATTACATTTTTATATTTTGAACTGAACTAGATTACTAGACTGAGCAGAATGTATCTAGATTGGAGATCGGATGAGTGGCAAAAGTCACTGACTCAATCTGTGTACAGTTGTTCAACCGTCATTCAAGCGCTGGAACTGTTGAAATTGGTGTCAAGCAGATCTGTTAACCTAATGGCTATGATCACTTCTAAGTCAGGTGTTAAAAACAGGTCACTTCAGACACCGGCCAGTTAGTTGCTCCACTATCACCTGGATAAGCCTAGAGCGTATCTATCATCTATCCCGAATCCACCTGTCAGGAGAGATTATGTGAACTCTTTACTGTAGATGCTGTGATTGCTAGGTGGCCAAGTGAGTTGATGAGTCCTCTATGGTCAGGGGCCAAGTTGCCTCATTGTCCCACTTTGGAGGGAACTCTCCTGTGTATCATGTGACTAGTGGGGAGCTAGTTAGTGGACATCTGGTCTTGTTATCAAGTTCCCTTGACCCTTCTTCCTCCAAGTCTGCTTGGATTCTTCTGGTCAGAGCTGTCACCTGCCTTCATAGTCTGTTGCTCACGGTGGACGGCCTTCACTCAAATCAGGCATAAAGTATGTCTACCTTGTTTATCTCCGTGATAGATACACAAAGGACACTTGACCTATATTATCGATTAATGGACACTTTCCTTCAGGCCACAATGTTTGTAGCTGCCATGAATTTTGAATGAATATTTGTGGCCTGTTCTTGACTGTTGAAATACTAAGTACTATCCCTGACTTGATTGCTGTTCTTTGCTGAAGATCAAGTACCTATGTTGTTAGAGTAAATATTAGTTAGAATAAATTTCCCTTACAAATCTATTCTTTCATATATATTTTTATTTGACCTTTGATTTATAAAAAAATAATTATTTAACCTTTAATGTGAAAAGGAATTAACAAATTAATTTCTGATAAAATAAAATTTTATAGTAATAATTTTGTATGTGTAATATATGCACATATGATTGAGTTTATCTCACATTCACTCAGGAATGCTTTAGTGAGAAGTCAAATTTTATTATAACCAGTTTATGGCCTTGACCTAATGGTGACCACATTGTGATAATCTGACTGATAAAAGACACACTGTATAATCTATTGCTTGAATTTAGTTTGTTGGCCACAAAGTGGGGAAAATTCCGTTCCTGTACATCAGAATTAAGAATGTCTGCAATAAGTCTAATGGAAGATTTCATGAAATATTCAGCTGTTGTATGGAGAATAGTATTAAAGCTGGTTGTTCCAGGGAGGGCATTAGTCAGGCTGAGTAGAATGTTCCTCCACTAAGTCCTCCACAGTAGCAGGCAATATAGACAAATTGACTGGGGCCTCGTGTGCAAGCTTTGAATCAAATTCTTCAAAAACGGTGGCAACGCAGGACATGTAATTATTTTGCAGTATTGATTCTGCCAGACCTGAGGTGCAATTTAGCAGGCCAATATGCATAATGTCAAACATTTGTCTGAGGTAAATTTATCCAGATCCAAGTTGGGGAAAGTTTTTGTGGAAGATTTTTGCCTGAATTTGATCCAGTTCATTAAATCTATTTTTGGAAGTATAAGTGAAAGCCAGCTCTGGAACACATGTTTCGGCTGTTTGAAATGGATGGATGGGGATAGACAAACTTATGGAAGTCATTAATTTGATGGAGAACAGCATACACTGCTCATTATTCTGAAGTATAATAAAGTTCCACCAGTGATTGTAATGTAAATCCTTTCCTCAAAGCAGCAGCCATATTGGTTTCACCATTCAGAATCGATGGGTCTTCTTTTGTGTGGGATAACTTTTTAGAATGTGTTTGTATTTTTGTTTCTAAAGTGTCTGTGTTTGTTGCAGTGATTCTGGCACCGTATGGACTAAATGGAACACTGACAGGGCACACATATCGAGACACGGACCAGATCAGCCGCAAGATGTTTGAGGAATGGAGCCAGTTTTACCCCTTTGAAAATAACACCAGTACTGATGACAAAGAAAAACTGCCAAACCTGGTTGAAGTCATTGTCTGTAAGTAATAAAACGACTTTAGTGTCCACCACAAAGGGGCATCCTTTACATTTTATTCTGCTCTTAACTCAAATCGATATTAGCATGTTGTCAGTATGAATTGATATTTTGTTCTTTTGTTAAACATGAATTAATTAATTTGGAGGCTGTGGATATTTTCAGAATAGATTTTGTTTTTGGTGGAAAGCGTTATGAAAATGAAACATTTTGTACGAAATAACTGTCCAAATAACTGTTCAAGGGAGACTACTCTGATAGTGAGAACTGATTTGTGCTTGTTTTTCCTTTGGCTATGATAATACTTAAACAGCAGAAGAACCTGCTCACACAGAGATAGCCATCAGTGGTTGTTGGAAATAATCAGATTTTTTACACAACAGAAAATGTGTTTTAAAACTGGAATTACTTCAAAATTGAGATAAGGACAAATCACGACACAAACTGCCCAGGTTTCAAATCAAAAGGAGTAATCACGTCACAATGTATTTCCAACTTAAGCATGATTGGGTCCCTCCTTTTAGATATTGTTGCAACAGCTGTAACACCCTCCCTATATTGCTGTGAGGAGTGTCGGGGCAGCCTTCTGGTTAAAGTGTTCACTCCTCACACTGAAGACCTGGCTTCCATTCCCCACATGGGTACAAGCCCACATGTGTGAAGCCCATTTCTGGTGTCCCCCACCATGATATTGCTGTAATATTCTAAAAGTGGTGTAAAACTAAACTCACTTATTGCTGTTTTAGGATAGGACAACTGATCAATCTTGTGCCAGTTTATATGTATGAAAACCTGTATTCTGAGAAGACAAGTGGAACTATCAATACAATGGAATGTAAATTACTAAGAAGGAAAGAACAGGCACCCATGTCAAAACCTTGTTATTGAAAGCATTTTTTTCTCTCTCTAGTTTATATCCTATTTTCTCTATAGCTGTATGTTTAAAATAACTTGTGTTCTTGTACATCCTGATGTAGTCACCTTCTTTCTTCTTTTCTTCTTCTTAATAACAATAATGTGTACTTCTATAGCGCTAAATTCCATACACCAAGTGCATACTCAAGTGCACACAAATGGACAGTAACTGTTCATTATTACCTGGGATAACTTAAGCTGCCTCTGAGGCGCTAGAAGTATTCACGACATCCCACTGGGTACCCATATTCTGCTAGGTGAACAGAGGCAATTTTTAACAAACTCACTTGCCTGACGTGAGACCAAATGTATCACATGTGCTTCTTCTTCTTCCTCTTTGACCGCCTCCGTGGTGTAGTGGTTAGAGCGTCTACCCGGAGAGCGGAAGGTCGCGGGTTCGATCCACGACCGCGTCATACCAAAAGATGTTAAAATATGGTACTTGTTGGTCCCTGCCTGGGTCTCGGCAGTAATGGGTACAACAAGGACTGGTCAGCTCGGAGTCAGTATAATGTGTCTGAGTGGGGTATTCATGCTTCACTGCGGCATGGTATCTCAGTGGGCTAGCACTATAAAACCAGCTTAAGTCTGGGCTAGTACAAGCAGCCGCACATACACATACACACGCATGCACATCGTCATGTGAGTGAAATATTCTCAAGCATGATGTAAAACCCAATTTCACCTCACCTCACCTCACCTCTTCTTCCTCCTCTTCTTCACCCTCTTCTTCACGCTAGTGAAGCCTGGCCTCCCCCTTTCTTCCTGTTTCCCACCTCCATCTGTGCACTGTGATGCATTTAGCCCGATCCATTGGCAGCAGGTGCTTGTGACGATGCATGGATCTCATTTACATCATGTTTTATCTTCCACAGTGAATGTGTGTGTCATATTGCTGGCCGCTATTGATTTTGCTAGAGATATATGCTGGCAATTTGATTATCCATTTTATCCAGACCATGGAATGTCTAAATTATGAAAGGTTAGGAATGATTGATCTAAGTTGCTGCCAAGGATGTTGATGGGTGGGGAAGGATGGATGCTGCTGTATTATTGGTGTCAAGCAAGAAAACACAGACAGCAACACTTATTATTGCTTTAACTCACAAAAGTGACAAATGTTTGAAGTAAAAATAATAAAAATGCCATCCAGGCCCACAGACTTTCAGAGATGAGGTCAGACCAAACTCTTCGGGTCCTTTGTGCATAGGGAACTGAGGCTATTTAAGATAAATAAATGGACATGTCCGACACAAGATTTACTTGTCACGGACCTACAGGCAGGCAATTATTTTGAACACTAACTGGTATTGGGGACTAAAAATTATTTCAGCAGCACCCCTGTTGTAGTTTTTGTATGTGTTTTTGTAAAACATGTAAGGTTGGCATGACCTACTTGGATCGCGTATGTGTGTATAACACCTGTATCTTTCTAAATGAGCTATGTTTATACATGATCTTTGCCTATCAACTTGACAAATGTGGCTATAAATATCTTCTGAACACATTCTTCTATCAATATCACATTAATAGAGATAAGGTGAGATTAACCTTGTGGGCCGAGCTGTTTGTCTTAATAGAAGTAACCAGGAAGTATGTATGGTTTCACCTTTTTTTAAGGTAGTTGTGTCATACATCTAGGAATAATATTTGATTGGTAATAATGTCTGATTTATTAGGAAGATATGCACTGTCTCTTGTATGATTACTCCACTAGACTTGCACAAGTCTCTAAAGTAATAATTAATCGTTTAAATGATAACTTCTAAAACATATACATAGGGAGGTCACGATACATAAGTTTCATGAATCGATACGTATCACGATACCCATGTCACAATTCGATACATATCGCGATACCTATTTTTGCGGCATTATTTTGTAAATTTTGTTACATATTGAACATTAATATTTCATATTTTATAATTGCCCATGAAAAGATCAACATTATTTATTCTCAGAGATTAAAAAGTTTTAATTTCCAATGTTTGTGTGTGATAAATAATCATTTTTAACTGTCATAACATAAAAAAAAAACAATGTTTGTGTGTTGTGTGTGATAAATAATCATTTTTAACTGTCATAACATAAAAAAAAAACATGATACAGTTGCAAAATGTGAATGATACATAAACATATTCAAAACAAAATATCGATACTGTTTTGAATGTATAGATAATTGTATTGTCTTAAAAAAAGTATCGATGTATCTTGGCATCCATACATATAGATACAATTAAGACATTGTCCCTCTAACAGACCAGTGTAGACTTGCCTCTTTAATGGATGGAATTACTAGACATTCATTGGCTTAGCATTCATAACAGTCAAGGACCAAGGCTATGACTACATGCAGGCCAAAATGCTGTGTTTGTAAACGTTAGGTTGATGTGGCCAGGTTGTGTTGACCTGAAGCACTATGATAAAATATTTGACATTTATCTTGGGATGCATTCTGAAAAATATGTTTGGTTTCTATCAGTTGTCATTAGGGGATGATTGTTTTATGTAACTTTAAATCTGTACGCAGATATGATCTGATCAAAGCGATTTGTCCTTTCTACGGCCATCCAAAGTGCTTGTTTGAAGGAGTATACTGAAACTGTATTGGGAGGGGGGGAAATCAATAAATAAATGTTTTGACTTCTAGTCAGCACGCTGTCAAATTACATTAATAGTTTCCTACCTGAACATTTTGTTCAGCTGTCATGTCAAGAGGGGCAGGTTTTGTTCTTACTTCATATATTTCTTGAAGTGTGGGGTGGTGGGGTAGCCTAGTGGTTAAAGCGTTGGCTCGTCATGCCAAAGACCCTGGTTCGATTCCCCACATAGGTACCATGTTTGAAGCCTATTTCTGGTGTCTTCCGTCATGATATTGCTGGAATGTTGCTAAAAGCGGCGTAAAGCTAAACTCGCTCATTCTTGAAGTGTCCTTTTGGGACTTGGGTTAGATTAAGTCCTCAGCGCTCCCTTGCTGTAAGAGGTGACTCAGTTGGACAGAAGATTTTGTGGTGACTTTGTTCATTGGGGGACTTTGATCGATTGCCAGGCTCAGAGTTGTTTATTTACATGCTGAAGATAGAGCTGGAATATTGCTTAGTTGTGAAATCCAAACTGACTGAAGGAAGTTATCAATTGTTCATGAGATTGAATAGTTTGATCAATGATTTACAGCATGGTCTAATTTTGATAATGGACATGAAACTAAAACTAATGAGTGCTTGCGTGGACAGGTGTATGAATTTTGGGAAATCTATGCTGCTAGTGCTGTATTGCAATTTGGTATTACTTAGATTAATTCCCATATTTTGTCTTTAATTAATGATCTATGATTTTTGAGATGATAGTTGCTGTTGGGAAGTCATTGTCTATTTTTCACGGGGGATTTGAATCTTACATCACTTTTGACATAGGACTTGACATCTAGGACCCCTATTTTGTAACGCTGAAATCTACAATAGAAGGGCTTTGAGTTCTTTGGACCTTAGTCTGAAATGAATAACTTCAATAAATCCCAGATATGCTCCTTAATGTTTTGGACGGAGGAGTAGCCTAGTGTCACTCACTCTCTCTCTCTCTCTCTCTCTCTCTCTCTCTCTCTCTCTCTCTCTCTCTCTCTCTCTCTCTCTCTCTCTCTCTCTCTCTCTCTCTCTCTCTCTCTCTCTCTCTCTCTCTCTCTCTCTCTCTCTCTCTCTCTCTCTCACTCACTGGTCACTCACTCACTCACTGGCTGTCTCACTCCACTCACTCACTCTCACTCACTGGTCACTCACCACTCACTCACTGGTCACTCACTCCCTCACTGGTCACTCACTGTCTCACTCACTCACTCACTGATCACTCACTGGTCACTCACTCACTCACTCACTGTCTCACTCACTCACTCACTCACATCCATAATGTTTTGTCAGTATTTGGTAATTTATGGAAGCTGTTGAATCCTTCAGTTGACTTTGTTTTTCTCTCTCTACAGCGGGTGTGAGGATGCGGTACCCGGCCTCCTTCGTGCTCATCTGTGACAATGAAGACTCCCCTGTGCGTCTTCAGCCCCTCACTGTTAATCCAAGTGTGGGGCCAAGGTCGCAGTTCAACCAGTCTATGATGAGCAACGGCCCACTGACACCACCCACCTCCCCAGCAGACAACTCCATGGCCGGCGACACCGGGGTGAAGATCGTGCCGATGACACCGATGAACATTGGTGTGGCTGAAGGCAATGTGAATGTCAACTGTATGCCCAACGCTTCTGATGTTCTTGGTCACGCCATCACACAGAAGGTTCTAGAAGATTCTAGCATCACCACCAGCATGGCCAAGAGGTTAGTTTGTATTTCTGTTGGTTACTGGCTTGAAACTGTTTTGGAAGATCATAATGAAAGAAACAAAACTGTAGTCTATATTGCAACATTCTGTTTACTTCTAATGGGTTGGGAGGGGCGGTGGGGTAGCCCAGTGATTAAAGCGTTCTCTTGTCTCGTCGAAGACCCAGGGTCGATTCCCCACATGGGTACAATGCGTTAAGCCCATTTATGGTGTCCCCTGGCGTGATATTGCTGGGATATTGCTAAAAGTGGCATGACATGAAAATATTTATTTTGCAACTCTACCAATTCCCCACTGTACATTATGCTCCATACTGCACAGTTCAACTGGTTTATTGTGATGTGTTTTAGTGTGTCTCAGTATATTAGATAAAAAAATAACATTACAATTTTATGTCATCATATTTTTTTAATTTGTATCCTTTAACCTAATATGTGCACTGAAATTCATTCACAAACAATGTTAAACAAACAAATATACAAAGCTGTTTTGTTATCGGGAATGTATTATGTAAAAGATTTCTACTCAATATTGTTTTGTGGTTGCTAAAACTTTGAGCCTTTTAAGACTCTTATAGAAATCCAGGGGCGGTAGGGTAGCCTAGTGGTTAAAGCGTTGGCTTGTCACGCCGAAGACCTGGGTTCGAATCCCCACATGGGTACATTGTGTGAAGCCCATTTCTGGTGTTCACCGCCGTGATGTTGCTGGAATATTGCTAAAAGCGTCGTAAATCCAAACTCACTCACTATAGAAATCCATGCTCAGTTGATACTTAGTCACTGTTAGTGAACTGGTAAATGGAAGGTAATACAGTTAATGTGGACATCAATTACTGATGAATGCGAGTCATTAGTCCGAACTCTGTACTACTGTAATTATGTGTGATTTGTAGGACGAGCGACACCAGTGAAGAGTTGGCTGCAGGACAGTGGCACTTTGCTGAACCCACTTCCAAAGTCAATTGTGCTTGTCCCAGGTGAGTGTGAGTGAGTGAGTGGGAACCACACTGCAAGTAGCCTCTCTCCTTGGCATTATACTTCCTTATGAGAAAACATCACATTAGTGTGGTCACTAGGTTGTAACGCCACCCTTGGTTATATGTGGCATGTGTTACCCTATAGATACAGATATGTAGCTATTTTGTATATTGGTCTTGTGTGGGTTTTCATTCTTGGATTGGTTTATAGCATTCCATTCTTGTAACAGAGGGGCGGTGGGGTAGCCTAGTGGTTAAAGCGTTGGCTCATCACACTGAAGACCTGGGTTCGAATCCCCACGTGGGTACAATGTGTGGAGCCCATTTCTGGTGTCCCCCTCCATGATGTTGCTGGAATATTGCTAAAAGCGGCGTAAAACCATACTCAGTCAGTCAGTCAGTCTTGTAACAGCCAGTGGTGTAAGCAGTAAAGTATAAGTAGAGAACAGTAGCCCAGAGTTAAGACCTGACTGATTTGGTCATTGCTTCCATGCTTCCATTTGATCAACTTCTTGTTTTTCATTGCGTAACTGTCTGTTGTAAAGATACACTAATTAAATTGCATCGTTACATATGAAGGCTGTGATCATTGTAAAATCTCCAAAGTTTCAACAGAATTCCTCTTCACTGTTAACTCTCCATAATCAGTTGTGCATGTAATCGTATTTAGCAAGTCACACCTCTCATACATGAGATGGGAAACCTCACTTCTGTTCTTTGTCCTTTCTTAACACTCATGTACATATGTAATAATGCTGAAGAAGATCAAGGGTTATTCTAAAGATTGAGTTTTTATTTAACGTGGACTGATGAATCATACCTCTGCTTTCATGATAAATGGAAGTTTGCCATTTTACATTATAATGTTCACACACTGATTTGGTTATTCCCCAGGCAAAGGAAGATGAAAGGTGGAGGTGCAGGTCAGTCGAAGAGTTTCCCCAGCGGGAAACACAAAGGTGAAAAGCAGGAAAAGCTAGAAAGGCAACAGTCAAGGCATGGTCGGAGTTCTACACCTTTTCACAGGCGTTCCCCTGTCATGGATGATCTCATGCAGTTTGATATAGACCTCAGGCTGCCTCCGAACCCAGCATTCTGCCCAACTGGCGGAACTACCATAGCTCCTCAAGGGCAGAGCACTCCAAATGAAACCAATGTTGATACGCCCTCTGCTCCTTCTCCCTTAGATGAACTTCAGCCCCTTGTCAACTCTACAATGGACCCACCAATGCCGACGTTAAGTCCGCATCCACCTCAAAAACTTATTGGAAACGAAAAGGAAGTGTGTGGGAAACAAACGGGCAGTGCTTCTGAAAACCAGAATGGGTTTATGTGTTCTGGGTTCCCAGACTTTTATCCTAAGAATGAGGAAGGGGTATCCAAATCTGATGCTGTGGACTCTCCGTGCCACTGGGGCCAAGAGTCCAAGCATGACAGTGTGAACAACTGGTTACAGTCGCAGCATCGCCAGATGGAGTTGACACGGGGTCTGAAGCGTCCCAGCCTCCCCACCAAAGATGCAGACGAGGAAGAGGAACTAGTCACAGATTCCCTCTACAATATGAACTCAGTGCAGCAGTGGTGAGTGAAGCACTTCACCTCATATATGACTTAAGTTCTTGTCAGTGTATTCTTTTGTGCCATGGACGGGAGGTGCGGTAGCCTTGTGGTTGAAGTGTTTGCTCATCACGCCAAATACCTGGGCTCGATTTCCCACATGGGTACAATGTGTGAAGCCTATTTCTGGATTCCCCATGCATGATGTTGCTGGAATATTGCTAAAAGCAGTGTAAAACCAAACTCACTCACTCTGACGGCAGTGCTTCTGAAACCAGAATGGGTTTATGTGTTCTGGGTTCCCAGACTTTTATCCTAAGAATGAGGAAGGGGTATCCAAATCTGATGCTGTGGACTCTCCGTGCCACTGGGGCCAAGAGTCCAAGCATGACAGTGTGAACAACTGGTTACAGTCGCAGCATCGCCAGATGGAGTTGACACGGGGTCTGAAGCGTCCCAGCCTCCCCACCAAAGATGCAGACGAGGAAGAGGAACTAGTCACAGATTCCCTCTACAATATGAACTCAGTGCAGCAGTGGTGAGTGAAGCACTTCACCTCATATATGACTTAAGTTCTTGTCAGTGTATTCTTTTGTGCCATGGACGGAGGCAGCGGTAGCCTTAGTGGTTAAAAGCTGTTAGCTCATCACACTGAAGACCTGGGTTTGAATCCCACATGGGTACAATGTGTGGAGCCCATTTCTGGTGTCCCCTCCCATGATGTTGCTGGAATATTGCTAAAGCGGTAAAACCATACTCAGTCAGTCAGTCAGTCTTGTAACAGCCAGTGGTGTAATCAGTAAAAGTATAAGTAGAGAACAGTAGCCCAGAGTTAAGACCTGACTGATTTGGTCATTGCTTCCATGCTTCCATTTGATCAACTTCTTGTTTTTCATTGGCGTAACTGTCTGTTGTTTGTAAGATACACTAATTAAATTGCATCGCTACATGAAGGCTGTGATCATTGTAAAAATCTCCCAAAGTTTCAACAAATTCCTCTTCACTGTTAACTCTCCATAATCAGTTGTGCATGTAATCTCATTATTTAGCAAGTCACACCTCTCATACATGAAAGATGGGAACCTCACTTCTGTTCTTTGTCCTTTCTCCAACACTCATGTACATATGTAATAATGCTGAAGAAGATCAAGGGTTATTCTAAAGATTGAGTTTTTTATTTAACGTGGACTGATGAATCATACCTCTGCTTTCATGATAAATGGAAGTTTGCCATTTTACATTATAATGTTAACACACTGATTTGGTTATTCCCAGGCAAAGGGAAGATGAAAGGTTGGTGGAGTGCAAGGTCAGTCGAGAGAGTTTCCCCAGCCCGGAAACACAAAGGTGAAAAGCAGGAAAAGCTAGAAGGGCAACAGTCAAGGCATGGTGGGAGTTCTACACCTTTTCACAGAAGCGTTCCCCTGTCATGGATGATCTCATGCAGTTTGATATAGACCTCAGGCTGCCTCGAACCCAGCATTCTGCCCAACTGGCGGAACTACCATAGCTCCTCAAGGGCAGAGCACTCCAAATGAGAATACAATGTTGATCGCCCTCTCTGCTCCTTCTCCCTTAGATGAACTTCAGCCCCTTGTCAACTCTACAATGGACCCACCAATGCCCGGCGTTAAGTCCGTGATCCACCTCAAAAACTTATTGGAAGCCTGAAAGGAAGTGTGTGGGAAACAAGCGACGGCAGTGCTTCTGAAAACCAGAATGGGTTTATGTGTTCTGGGTTCCCAGACTTTATCCTAAGAATGAGGAAGGGTATCCAAATCTGATGCTGTGGACCTCCCGTGCCACTGGGGCCAAGAGTCCAAGCATGACAGTGTGAACAACTGGTTACAGTCGCAGCATCGCCAGATGGAGTTGACCACGGGTCTGAAGCGTCCCCAGCCTCCCACCAAAGATGCAGACGAGGAAGAGGAACTAGTCACAGATTCCCTCTACAATATGAACTCAGTGCAGCAGTGGTGAGTGAAGCACTTCACCTCATATATGACTTAAGTTCTTGTCAGTGTATTCTTTTGTGCCATGGTGGGGAGGTGCGGTAGCCTTGTGGTTGAAAGTGTTTGCTCATCACGCCAAATACCTGGGCTCGATTTCCCCACATGGGTACAATGTGTGAAGCCTATTTCTGGATTCCCCATGCATGATGTTGCTGGAATATTGCTAAAAGCAGTGTAAAACCAAACTCACTCACTCTGTGCCATGGTGCTGAATAAGAATGCATTTGCATATATATTAGCTCCAAAATGGTTATTTGGAAACATTACTGGCTTTGCTAAAAGCCAAATCCTTAAATTCGAGCTGAATACAAATATAATATGATAGATGCTATGAATATGTGTACGGATTTCAGATTGCGAGATTGCAGAATGTTGGTAGCTTCTGTGGTCAGTACGAAGTCTTTACACAATGGCTACAGCGCACTCATACCTAAAACCCTGGTTCAGTTCCCTAAAGGATTCATACTGTGGGAACCCCAATATTTCCGTCCCCTGCCATGAATTTTACTGTATTATTGCTATAAGTGGAGTACAACAATGTTCTCTCTCATTTTACCCTGAAAACCCTGAAAACTGCAGTGTGCACCTGTACCCCACGTTGGTACAATATGTAAAACATACTGGTTTGCTCCCTTTGATGTAGCGTTTATATTGCTAAATAGCTTAAATATAAATTTCACACAAGCCTACTCAATCTGGATCCAATTTGCAATGTATAAAAGTAGTTGTCTTTCATGAATCACAGCTTTTCAATCATTTTTTATACAAACTTAATTTGTACATTTTTAGGATCGATCTTCCAATGAAGAAAGTTCGAATCGACACTACCCCTCCTGATGGTTCCAATATCCAACAACCCTCCCTCTCCGATTCCTCCTCCCCCTCCGGCCATTCCCAAAGACACACGCCCAAACCTCCTACCCCACCTCCAGCCCCGGACCCCTATGAGTTCTCCGATGAGGCATCCGTTAACCCTGGAACACTTACACGATGCTCGCGGAAAAGTCGAGACGAACACTTTCCACGACCGTCACCGAAACGGGTAAGTTTAGCTTTGACTTAGACTGGATCAGTGGAGACACTGTACGTAACCCAATGTGTCATTTCTAAGACCCTTGATGGTTCTGTCAGGCTGTTTTCATGTTAGTGTTTGCAAGCATTGTCTACTGTCATTGCATTGATTCTTCTATAACTTCTACGACCCGTGAAGATCCAGGGTATAATAGGTCTTCAGCAACCCATGCTTGCCACAAAAGGCGACTGTGCTTGTCGTAAGAGGCGACTAACGGGATTGGGTGGTCAGGCTCGCTGCCTTGGTTGACACATGTCATCGGTTCCCAATTGCCCAGATCAATGCTCATGCTGTTGATCACTGGATTGTCTGGTCCAGACTCAATTATTTACAGACCGCCGACATATAGCTGGAATATTGCTGAGTGCGGCGTAAAACTAAACTCACTCACTCACTCTCACTCACTCACTATAGCTTCTACACTTGTGATCATCATGCATTAAAATACATAACTGTTATTTGATACTCCTGGGTCCACTTGCACAAAGTGATCTTATTGCTACGATCATCTTAAGGCTGTGCTAGACTACGGAAGTTACGATCAGCGTAGTGCTAAGATCGCTAGTCGGGCCTATATTTGTTGAGTTAGTGGAGATATGAAAACTTCGACCAGTATGCACCTGGTCCCTTCAATTTTGTAAGCCAATCAGGAAACAGTATCATAGCTGAAATATTTTTGTGTCATAGCTGTAAATGTATATGTGTCTGTGTTGTGTTGCTGCAGATGTAGTAAGTGCATGTATGTTGTAGTAGTAGCTGTAGCATGTAGTGGTGATCACTAACTGTTTCAGATGTTTCTGCTACAGTTGGTTCCCCTCAGACGCCAGGAGCTAGTCTGACCCGAGAGATTGATCTCAAACCAACCGAGCTGGACTTGGAACATATATTTGAGTCATCGGGTGATGACAGCGATGATGCTGGGGTCAGTTCAATAAGCTATGTCTCGTATTTTGTCATGATTGATTGTAAGATAAGGTTCCTCCTCATTTGATTGTGTGCTTCACTGCTAGATTTATAACCAGATACAGGACTGTGTGTTCCACAGCTAGATTTATAACCGGATACAGGACTGTGTGCTTCCACAGCTAGATTTATAACCGGATACAGGACTGTGCTTCACAGCTAGATTTATAACTGGACACAGGACTGTGCTTCACAGCTAGATTTATAACCGGATACAGGACTGTGCTTCACAGCTAGATTTATAACCGGATACAGGACTGTGCTTCACAGCTAGATTTATAACCGGATACAGGACTGTGCTTCACAGCTAGATTTATAACTGGACACAGGACTGTGCTTCACACCTAGATTTATAACCGGATACAGGACTGTGTGCTTCACAGCTAGATTTATAACCGGATACAGGACTGTGTGCTTCACAGCTAGATTTATAACCGGATACAGGACTGTGTGCTTCACAGCTAGATTTATAACCGGATACAGGACGGTGGGATAGCCTAATGGTTAAGCGTCCTTTCATCACGCTGAAAACCCGGGTTCGATTCCCCACATGGGTACAATGTGTAAAGCCCATTTCTGGTGTCCCCGGAATATTGCTAAAAACGGACTAAAACCATTCTCACTCACTCACTAAAACCAGATACACAGTAAAGGATGATCATCTTTTGTATCAAAGCTTGTTTGATTGGGAACGGGATGTTAAGTCAATGTGAGATGTATTTTCATGAAAGGTTGCCAATAATAAGTATTTTCAATTTCCTCTTTGTTATTTGTGTTAACAAGGTGTGTGAAACTTATTATTTCCTTCCTAGGGAATTGATGCAGGGTTGTCTGCCAGCAAGACAACAGAGGAACTGACTGCTGGCAAAATAACGCCATCTGGTAAGCGTTCTACCGTTTCCTGGGGAAGACAAATGTGACTGAAATAAGGGATTACAGTTTGGTCTCTGAAAATTAAACAATGTCCATTTACATGGTACGATACTGTATCTAATGCAGGGTTCGGAATTGACAGTAGTTTTGGGTTCCATCATATTCACGGCTATTGTGATTGAATCTAAGCAGTCTTAAACTTTAGCGTTATGGTTGTGACAAGGATCCCTGTGTTTGTTTTGAACGTTGGAAAGTATGAGAGTGGAGAAATAAAGTATTCTGTGGTTTTTTTTTCTGTAGTTTAATGGTTAAGAGCCATAAACTGTGTGAAATGTTACTGTTGTTTGAAGATCCAAGTATTTGAATGTATGACTGTTGACCATTTCTGTTTCAGTAGCACAAGACCTGTCAAGGATGTACCCAACGCCACCGTCACTTGAAAATACCAAGCTGCCGTCTCCTCGAGACGATGACCGATGTCACGCACGATGTAGTCGAAGTCAAAGTAGAGGCATATCCCATGCCCACTGCTGAGGAGTTGTGTAAGGTGAGAGATGCTCAAACTATCGACAATCAGTTTGAAAATACAAAGAGGTTCTAAATATTATTTGTTGGTGGAAATCTTGTGCTTTGGAAATTTTGTACATTCTGATGTTTTTGGTCATTAATGATAAGTGAGCAAAGGTTCCACAGTATTGCTGTGCAGACATGTGTCATTTTGCAAAGCTTGCACCCATGTTGATGAAACTATAATACTGTGCAAAGCAGTGTTAAACCCATCTCACTCACTCATTAATGGGAGAGGTGGGGTAGCCTAGCGGTTTAAGCATTCACTCGTCACGCCAAAGACCCGGGTTCGATTCCCCACATGGGTACAATGTGTGAAGCCCATTTCTGGTGTTTCCAGCCGTAATATTGCTGGAACATTGCTAAAAGCTGGCTAAAAGTAAACTCACTCCCTCATTAATGGGTAAAATGTGTTTTTATCTGTAAATGATTCCTTGATAAACTGGACAACCCCCTTTGACACTCAATAAATGATTCCAGTGAGGAAAGCAGGTGTGTAAAAGTCATGAAACTGTTTTCTGTCTGTTTTTGCATAATGACATTGTTTATTCATTTGTCTTCTCTAACGTTCCAGCAAGGGGTATTCAAGCCGCCAGAGTTTGGCAAGTTTGTTGGTTGTGGGAAGTATTCCCAGGTGGAGTTACCCAGCAAGCAGCTGTCTCCGATCCCTGTTCTTCCTGACTACAAACCCCCATGGCAGTACAGCATGACCATCATGGACAAGTCACTCTCTCAACCACCCCCAAGGTTCGTAGTCAATCGTGTCAGTGTTTGTGGTAGTTGCGGCGAGGTTTGGGCTTTGACATGTTTATAGTGGTGCCCAGCACTTTGACGTGTCATGGTGTCATTTTACAAACCGATCTACCTGTGAAGATCTGGGTTGGAATTGGTATTTTATAACCCATGGTTGTCGTAAGAGGCGAGTAACGGGATCAGATGGTCAGGCTCGCTGACTTGGTTGACACATGTCATTGTATCCCAATTGTGTTAATCGACGCTCATGATGTTGATCACTGGATTGTCTTGTCCAGACTTGATTATTTACAGACCATTTATAGGTGGAATATTGCTGAGTGTGGCATAAAACTAAACCAAATGCACTCTCTCACTGTCTTTGGTATGGCATCCTAATATATCATGATTTTACAAGGACAAACCATCCCTCATTTCACCCATGCTGCTGGATAATGTCGCCTTTATGTGTGATGTGTAACCAGTGTATTTTCCATTGCAGTCAATACATTAACATCCCGTCCATAGAGAACATCCCCAGTCTGACTTCACGACTGCCAGCTGGCACGGTGGAGAGTTCCCCCCGCCACGTTCCACAACAGCAATCAGCAGCGAACTCCACGCACACCACGCACCCCCATGAGCTACGAGCTCCAGTCACCAGCATCCAATGCCTCGTCCATTCTGAACAAAACCCTCAACTCAATAGACAATCACGGCACCAATAACCAGCTACCGGAGGTGCACAGCCTCATTGTCAATGTGCTCCTCTCCGATTCCATTCTCAATCTCTTCAAGGACCACAACTTCGACAGTTGCAATATTTGTGTATGTAATATGGACATTAAAGGTTCCGATGCCGGCCTGTACGTACCAGACACCCGGCACAAACTCTGATTCCTTGTCCTGCAGTTGTGGTTTTAGTGCTGCCATGAACCGAAAGTACGGTTACAATTCAGGGTTGTTTTATGAAGATGAAGTGGATATTACTGGAATGCGTGAGGACAGATTTGAACGGCGGAAGCCGAGTTTGCTAGCGTTGGACGAGAACACGATAAAAGACAATGTACCCGAAGATATACCTCAGATAATATTGGAGTTACTCCTAGGACAGTTTACTCTGCCTCATCCCTCAATGGTGGCAGAGCACAGATTGTCCTTGTTAGATATGTGTGCAGCTACGTCTTTCATGGGAAGTGTCGTGGATACTTTGCAGATAAGAGGTAAGACACATTTCCCTTAATTTTAGTGAGTGTTGATTTGTTGATGAGATATCTGGAGTTATATGACAATGACACTACTTTGTTACGGGCAAGAAAATTCTTTTTAAGAAAATGCTTGCTGATTGTGTACATAAATGACAAGACAGTGCAGGCCTTAACAATCATGAGAGATAGATGCATGACTGGATGAAAGATCACCTTTTGTGTAAAACTTGGCAAGAAATATGAAGCTGGTAGCTGAGAAGCTGGAAGTGCACACTCTTTATTAAGTGGTTGATCAGGTCCAATTGTAAGTGACAGGTTTGCTATACTTTGTGCCTTCTGTAGATTGGGGCTACAATAGCTACTAATAGAAAGGTCTTTTACAAATATGTTTTCTTGAAAAATGGTGTGGGGAAGTTTATGTTGGTTTTTATGTGAAGTATGATGTCTGACCAAAAGATTGTGAAACCATTATGGGGGAATGTTGAAACACACAAGTGATTGCACAATTTTCAAAGGGAATGATTTTGTGATGAACTGAAATCAAAGCATAGCATTTGTGGGAAGAATAAGGACAGAAATAGGAAGATATATAGACAATGATTACTAACAGCGACAATATAATCAACAATTATGAAGTGTTATGGCGACACATCTTGTGGTCTCTTAAGTACAAATCCTGCTTATCTTTTCACTACAAAAAAAATGTGTGATAGAAGTTGTAGTGGCGAAGTCGGAGTCTTACTACTGTATTTCTTGACAGATGGAAATGAGGTTTCCTACAATGCTTTGGATCAGGGGAGACAAGCCATGGAGAACTGCTCACCAAACAAACTTGATGACCCTGCCATGAAAAAGAACTGTCTCCATAAATGGCCGTTTCTTAAAGGTAAGAGGATGAGAAGGGATGTCTGGGAACGTGAATGATATCCTTATGAGTAATTTTTGTACAATATTACATGAAGGAAAAAAGATGCTATTAAATAGTTTTCAAATTAACCAAAGTGAAAATTCTTCTCAAGTTATTCCAAAATATATTAATGTGAATACCTGTGGATTCAATGTCCATTAGCTGGGCTTGGGTCGCTGCTCGTTGTTCCCATTGTACACTTTCCATCATTTTGACGGTTTGTTAGCCCTGAAAAATACTTATTGATTTCACAGAAATGTCTATGTTAAGCTGACATGCTGTCATATGGCTGAAATGTTGTTGTTCATAGTGGGTGCGAAACATCTTCTTACTTTTACACAGCTTGAAAAACCTGATCAAGATGATGCAGTGTCATTTTTGAGATATGTGAAAGATGAATGTTTTGTTTTCTGCAGGTGCTAATCGAATCCCGCTGAACTCCCAAGACATTCTGCGCATGTTGAAGACACTGAACCCCCTCCTGATGGATGCCATCATGAACAAGCGCATCATGCGGGTCTGGGAACACAGTCACAAGCTTACTGGGCCCCTCAGTTGGAAGGACTTTCATCAGCTGGCAGACAGAGGTAACCAGCATTCACTTTCTTCTGTGCTCTACATCACTCAAGGGGATACTCAGATCATTCAAGTGTTGAAAAATGTCCCAAAGTGGATAACTGATGGGGGCAACATTATACAATAATAGACTGGTGATGAGGTCAATACCTGTTTTTATGGACCCGCAAAAAGCAATATTGACTGAGGACAAAGTCTGAGGTCAATATTGCTTTTCGCAGGTCCATAGAAACAGGTATTGACCGAATTCACCAGTCCATAATTGTTTTATTATGTACTTACCGAAAAAAAGCTTCTAAAAACCACAACACATTCATTTAGTCAAGAAAAAGTAATTTTATTTTCACTACAAACAAATAACGTTATGTCAACAATACTTTGACGTAAAACAATAGAATGACATCATAGCAACTCAAGTCAATATGACTTTTCGGTCGGACCTGGGTTGGAGTCAATATGCTTTTCTGTCGACCATTCTTGTTAACGCCAGACCAATCAGGTAGCCGAAAAAATATGCTTACATAATAAAACTGTTTAACTAACCATATACCTGGCACAGTTTTGTGCTGTTAGGTTATATGTTACATCATCTTATGATAGGAAAATTGATATTTGTCCCCGTCCAAATGCGGACGGGGACTATGGATTCAAGCGTCACCACGACATACACCACTTTTCCCGAACTCTTGTTAACGTGATATCTAATGCACTGTTGTATCCAATGTCTTCAAATTTGGTGACAGCCTACATTGGGGATTACACAGACACCAGTCGATTGGGGTGACCTTATTTTCACGGTCACCACAGCACTTTGACCACTTTTCAAACTCTTCTTAACGCGATATCTCATGGACTGTTGTACCCAGTGTCTTCACATTTGGTGACAGCCTACATTGGGGGATTACACAGACACCAGTCGATTTGGGTGACCTTGACCTTACCTTCAAGGTCACCACGACACTTTGACCGCTTTTCAAACTTATTTAAACTCGATATCTCATAAAACATTGCACCCAATGTTTTCAATTATGTTGACAGCCTACATTGGGTGATTATGCAGACACCAGTCATTTCAGGCATCTTGTATGTGACCCAAAAATAGTGATTTAATTATTTGTAAGGATGCTGGTAATGAGTTGTGACCCAAAAATAGTGATTTAATTATTTGTAAGGATGCTGGAAATGAGTTGTCTCCAAGGCGCTATAGAATGCTATTTGTATGACAACTTCTTTCAACAATCAGTGACACTCGGAATATCCCTGTGGAGATCTGAGTGTGAGCTGAGTGATACATACACTATTAGGTGTGGTCAGAGTAGTTTGAGAAGATGCACACAGGTTTCACCCCTTGCTCTTCATCAAAAGGCTCTGTAAAGAGTGGGAGAAGGCAATCAAAAGATTGGGATGGCTACAGAAGATGGTGGGACAGGAGTAGGTTGTCTGAAGATGTAGATCAGTAGGAGTTAACGCTAATGTGATAATGACCTCCCAAGTTGCTGCATCAAGCAAAAGCTTGGTGTTTTGTTGGGATGCTTCATCTATATTCTAGTCATCATGGGCAGGTTTTGTTTGTTTTGTGTTGTTTGTATTGATGTTTTTCGACCCGGTGCAAGCATGTAGTTGATCCTGTGTTTGTCTGTTCAGGGTCGGACGAGAACAGCGAGCCTCAGCCCATCCCACATTTCCTGGTGGGGTACGACCGAGACTGGCTCTCCGTCTCCCCCTTCAGTATACGATTCTGGGTGAGTAGATTGCCAGAAGCTGACATGAATAACTCTCACTACAAAGTGATGTACATGGAATATATTGTTACTGTGACTAAAAATAATCTGCCTGATGAATTTTCTGGATTTGTCATATGGAATACATGCACTTGATAATTGTTTTTAATATATTATAATATATAAAATAATATTGCTAAGTCTGTAATAAAGTTTTCCCCACTGTGTGATTTGTATGTTTATCATTGTAACATATTTCTACAAATGTTTTACACTCTGCAACTAAGCGTAAAAGTCGTCTTATTTTTGTGTTAAATTTACTCAGTGGTAGAGATATACACTATTGAACATTCTCTTTAATTCTTTGTCCATACTATTCTCTTTATCTTTTTTCTAATTCAGTTAATGTCTTTTCCAGGACAAAGAGTTCATGGAGCCATTTGGTCGTCAGCGTGACATTGCGTACGTGGTCGTCGCACCTGATAATGACTTCATCCTACAGAATGTGATCAGTTTCTTCAAGGAGCTTAGTACAGTGTATGAACTATGTCGGCTGGGCAGACATTGCCCAATATCTAAAGTGCTAAGAGATGGTATAATGCGGGTCGGGAAGAGTGCTGCTCAGAAAGTGCAAGATGAACAAGTGGATGAATGGTTCAAGTCTATAGGTGGGTCTTGTTAATATTGTTTACGAAGTTAAACAAATATTTAATTCTTACAAAGATGTAAACCTTTGCTATAGTCTGTTTGCAGTGAAAACGTACCGATGAATTTCACTTTAAACAAAAACGTAAATCAAATAAAGTGAAATTAGAAGTACGAGTCCTCATGATTTTACCTTGCTAATGGAACATTTAAATCTCAGAAGTTTATTTAACTTAGGATAAAGTTGTTTAACAAACGATCATAGTTTCAAATCGCTGTTGTTGGTTTGTATTACAAGGGGGTATGCACATTAAATGAAACACTTAGAAGAAGTAGGGTTGGTCTAGGTTAACTCTCATCACGTACTGCACGTGCATTTGTATCACTGTTCCAATTACTGCGTTTACTCCCTTGTAATACAAACCAATAACAGCGATTTGAATCTGTGATCATCTGTTAAACAACTTTTATCCTAAGTTGAATAAAATTCTGAACTTTATATGTTTAACTGGCAAGGTAAAAATATGAGGATGCACAATCTTAATTTCACTTTTTTTTTTATTTACTTTCTGTTTTAAGTGAAATTCATCGGTACGTTTTCACTGCAAACAGACTATACATGGGCATTGCAAGTCCTGTTTTTTTTACATTATTGATATCTTCAGATTTTCAACAGAAGCCTGCTTCACTGTCAAATAAACATAATATTTGTGTATGTAATAGTATCTTACTACATTTGAATCATGGGTATGCCAATCCCACCTGGTTAACATATGGATTGTTGCTCACAATATTGATCACCAGATGGTCTTGCCCTGACTCGAGTATTTACAAGCCTTTGTTCAATGCTTGAATAATGTCAAGTGTGGTGTTTAACGAAAACAGAAACAAAAAGAGAAATCCTGATTTCCGAAGTTTGGGTTGACATTTCTGCATCTGTATTGACATGTGTTACTTCGTCATCCTGCAGGGGAATCCTCACTGGCTGCCAAGTTGAAGCTATATGCACAGGTGTGTCGTCATCGACTGGGTCCGTTCCTGGCAAGACAGAGCCTGGACAAGTCCTTGTTTGACACGCCATCTAGTTCATCCCACAAAACTCCCTTCAAGGCTCCAGAGCCTGCTAAGCCACCTACACCGGGACAGTCAGAACTCTACAGGGATCACCCCAGGCCAGGAAGATAACAAAGGTGGGTTCTAGATACAGCAGCAGTTGGACTACATCATACAACAGTCACTGCTGATTTAGTTGCTTTTAAAACAACTTTCCTTTGTTAAGTTTAATTTCAGTAGATTAGGAAGTCAAGCCTTTGTTTGCAGTGTGTGATATAGTTTCTAAATTTTTCTAGCCAGTCGGGCAAGCTATGCCTGGGAGTTACTAGCCCACGAAATAATTCATAATCTTGCATGATTTAAAGGTGCATTATAACTTAGGAAGTCTGAGAGAGTGATATATTTACAAAATGACCCCATGAAAATTCTTTACCCAGTCGGGCCAGTGATTGGACATTTACTGGCCCGACTGGATTTTTACCAGTCATGGGCTAGCGGGGCAGTGACTATTTTGCACACTGTTTGTAAGCAACATTTTTTAATTGTAAGACTGATAAGATGACTGAAATTAGGTCTTCATTTTGAAGATTGTGAATAACAGTCAGTATTGTTTTTTCCAGAGAGTGGGTTTAGTGAAGGAAGTTCCCAGAAGGACGGAGGTCAACATGACCTGGACACTGACGACAACAACCATTGTCCGGCTGTAGTGGTTTATCTCATTGACCCATTCACATACGGCAACGCGTGGGATGATGACAGTCGCCTGGCTATGGTGGGGCTGCTTCGCTGCTATCACCAGATGGTCCAGTCTCTCCCAGAGAACCTTCAGAACAACATGTGCTTACAGGTAAGGTGGCTGCCATGTGGACTTGTGAATGCATATATCCCATCAGAGATATGAAGATTTTGAGTCACATTAACGTTTGTCTTGTGGTTTGCAAAACGGAGTTTCATCCCTTTATCATGACTGGATCTGGTGACCCTGTGTTTGAGTCTCTAATTTACTCTGATTATGATCCTTGTCCTGGCTAAACCTTCGAAGATCTTATGAGTTTCACCAAACCGCCTCAGGTCTATATTGCTTTCAGAATCAAGACTAATTTTGCAAAGCATTGACTACCCAGAAATGAATTCTTTTCTTTAGTCATCACCTTTGTAGTGTTTGCAATTGCGTAGATCGATGTTCATGATGTTGATCACTAATTGTCTGGTCCAGACTCGATTATTTACAGAGCACTGCCATATAGCTTGAATATTGTTGAGTGTGGCGTAAAACTAAACTCACTCACACCCTCGTAGTGTTTGCCTTCTGTGTCTTGTTAATCTTTGAGAACAGAATAGCTAAAGACAGTTTTGTGCCTCCTGTGCTGAATGCCATGTATGTGTCTCCATGCTGTATTGCCAATATGATAGTTGTATGAATTCCGTGTTTTCAGGTTGTGCCTCTGAAGACTATCCTTGGTTACAAAGAAAGCAACACCCAGTTTCAGGCCCTCAAGTCCGTGGCCTTCTCAGTGTTCACAAACTGCAGATGGAACCTGACACACAATATCATGGGTCGACCTCTCACAGGCTTTGGACCTGCAGCAGCTGCAGAACAGTTCCTCAAAAAGGAGGTCAGTTTACCTGACGCAGGTCTGCAGGACATATACCTTGAATATTGCAAAGCTGCTGTTCCTTTGATGTAACCTGTGAAGGTCCAGATTAGAATTTGTCTTCTGCATCCCATGCTTGTCATAAAAGGCAATTAACTTGATTGGGTGGTCAGACTCGCTGACATGACTGACACTTGTCATCGTATCACTGTATTGTCTGATCCTGGGCCCCATTTCACAAAGTGATTGGTATGTTACAGCTGTTGTAACTCCTATAGTTTAATATGTACTTAAGACGGTCATAGTGCTAAGTTAGCTTTGTGAAACCAGGGCCTGACCATCGTTGTATAGCTGGAGTATTACAGAGTACGGCGTTTAACAAGCCTCAAAGTACTTACCTGTACGATGTTACATGTACTGGGATGGATTGTTCTTCACAGTAATCCTGGCATTCTTCATAGGCTGCAACATTATTGATGGAAAATCGCTGAAAGCAGCATTTGATAATAAAGCTTAGATTAGAATCACCAAATTAGAAAACTGTAGGTTCCCAAAAGTTGTTTTCAGGATAATTTAAAAAAGATATTTGTGTGATTTTTGTTGTTGTTTTTAGCTGATCTTACTTAGCCATACAGAATTTTAGAAGGCTTTGGTTCCAGAACCAGTGGCTAAAATAGCAAACTGCTTTAGGACAGTTTTGAAATTTACTGATATTAAATCAAGTGTACTGGTACTTGAGAGCATGTTTAAGGTTCTATTCTATGTTTATATTGTATTATCAAATCTCTTCTCTCCCACAGGAAAATTGTGTCACACGCCTTTACAGTCCCCCGTTTGTGCTGGCGCCAGTGCGGGACAAGCAGAGCCAACTGGCGGAGTGTTGTGGGGAGAAGACGGAGAAGTCCAACGTGTTGTTCTGTGCCTACTGTCTGTCGGAAGACCAGCGCTGGCTGCTGGCCGCTTGTACAGACGAGAGGGGAGAACTCATGGAGACCTGTGTCATTAATATTGAAATACCAAACAGGTAGGAACATGTCCCAGATCTTTTTTTTAAGTGACTTGTGGAGATTCTTGGTTCGATTACCAACTATTCTCTAATTCATGTAGATTATACTCTGTTGTGGTAGCCAAGTGGTTAAAGTGTTTGCACATCTTGCTGAAGACCCGGGTTCTATTCTCAACATTGGTACAATGTGTGAAGCCCATGTCTGGTGTCCCAAGCCGTGATATTCATGGAATATTGCTAAAAGCGGTGTAAAACTAAACTCACTCAATGTTGTGTGATTTCTTTATAACTATTTGCAAATGGATCTTTCAGGAGCCGGAGGAAAAAGGCATCAGCTCGGAAAGTTGGCTTGCAGAAGTTATTTGACTACATTCTTGGCATTGTTTCCATGACAACGCTACCTGCCAGGCTTGTGATAGGCAGGTTTGGCCGTCTTGGTCATGGAGAACTTAAAGGTACGGACTTCAACTTTCAGGTCTAAGGGAAGTAACTCTTCTAGCATATAATTCCAAGATGGTGGAAAGTAGCAATATATCTGGATGCATCAGGTCAATGAAAGTCAAATTTTCTTGTTGTCGTTGGATGTAGTTCAAAGTGAGTAGTTTCTGTTATTTGTGGTTTCTTTTTACTGGCAGTCTTGGACTTACCAAAGTGGACAATTCAGTGTCTGATGATCATCATGTTCTTATGAGATCTTTTTATTCCTTTTGCAGGCTGGGCTGGTATCATCAGCAAGAAGAACCTTGCGTACGTGAGCAAGCACATGCGAGATGTCTGCAACCAGTGTTCCTACCTGTCCAGTGAAAACCCCAGTATCCTCAGTGCATGTCTGGTGTCCTTGGAGGCGCAACCCAGCTTCCAGGTGATGGCCGACGCCCTCAAGATGGAGGAGAAGCCCAGCAGCAACTGCCCCCTCCAGACCCCCCGGGATGCTTCGACATCCCACATCCTCGTCTTTCCTACCTCGGCTACAGCACAGGTCAGTCAACATGTCAGGATGTTCCGCTTACAGAATTCTATAAAACAGTGCTGTACCATTATGAATTTTTTCTATTGCTGTGTCCTATCACAAATGTACAAGAGAAAGATTGGTCATTTGCACTGAATTATAATTTACAAGCACAAATAAAGAAACCACATGTCATTAAACTGAAATATAACTTGTCCCATGTTGTTACATGTTTTTGTTTCAATTCCTGTAAGTTGCAGTGCTATTTCTTAAAGGCACAATGTCACACATTTTCGACAATATTTTGACCTATTTTATAGGTATTGGGGCATATGCACTCACTATAGTTACCTGTTGATCCAGTAAAAGACTTATTATCCCTTACAACTTGCCTGAAATCAATAATTGAAACTTCAAGGTGAACAGCTTCGAAACAGAGATCACTTGTCATATATGGAATGTAAACAATTGCTCCGTACGTACATCGAAAACTGTTGCACGAAGTGTTGTCGATGTTTGCTGAACTCATTTCAATCACAAGTTGTGCATAGGATATTCTTAGAGAACGCTCCAGGGGACTTTACTCTATGGGGTTCTCTTGAAATAATATTCGGCCGGAAGAGGGCCATTCGTCATACAGCGATGAGAATTTTCCTTGGGTCCGCTGGAATTCCAGGAATTTCACAAGGCCAAGGGTCATTTTTGTGAATCGTCTAAATCCAACAGATGCTAAACCCCCGTCTAGTTTTCTGAGTTTTTCTCAAAACTTCATTCACATCCCTGGTCATAGGTGCATGAAATATCTTAGTCTTACATCCTCTGTAGAGTTGCATTCTGAGTTATGAGAAGATGCAGAAGGGTTTTTGATCCAGACTTTCCCTTGGTAGGATCCCTGGGTTTAACATATGAGCTTGTGGGTCTACATGAAGCCTTTGGGCTGTCGTCATAGTGTTGTGAATGAAATAACGCTCAAAGCAACATTACGCCAGCTCACCTTGAAGTTTTCATGAGGTGTGCTGATTTTCTGACGATTCAAATAACAAATTTACATCTGACTGAAACCTAATGGGACAGACTAAGTATGCATATGATTTTTAGGATGTGGTCTGTTATGGTTTTGTAGACCCGTTCTGATTTCTTGACAGGTAAACAGTGCTGCGATGCCCATTGAACCTAGTCACTTAGAGCTGGATGAAATCATGTCCTATGATGAATTTGGCACTATGGACAACGATTTCAACTTCAACGAGCTGTTCGGGCCAGACCCAGGAGTTACCTCCCCTAATGGTTCTCCTCCACCAGGTGACAAGGGCAGGCTACCAGATCAGCGCTCTAACGGACAAAATGCTGTAAGTTGATAGTCATCTGTGTTGTCAACACTTCTTGTACAGACTGTGGAACCTGTGAAGATCCTGGTTAGAATTTATCTTCAGTAACCCATGCTTGTCATAAGAGGCAACTAAAGGGATCAGGTGGTCAGGCTCGCTGACTTGGTTGACACATGTCATCGTATCCCAATGGCATAGATTGATGCTCATGCTGTTGATCAATGGATTGTCTTGTCAAGATTATTTACAGACAGATAGCTGGAATATTGCTGAGTGTGGAGCTAAACAACAGACCCACCAACAGATTGTGGTAATTACCTAATTATAAAAATGTGAGATGGACTGTTCAATTGTGATAGATTGCTGTTTGGGATTCCTGGGCAATGTGGGTCCCAATAAATAACTACATGATTATCACTTAGGTACACCTACAGAATACCGGATACATACCAGCCATATTGTTTAGTGTCACGTCACCCTAACCCTTACCCTAACCCTAACCCCAAACCTTACCAAAACATTTACAAACTTTCATTTCTAGAATAGGGGTGAAACGGTATGCTCTTATGACGGTACGGTAGGTATTGTGATACAAGGCTTTCGCTTCGGTCTGTTTCGGTTCGGTATATGAGACATTATCACAATTCAGAAAATTGACAACTAGAGGCAAACCTTACATTGTTTAATAACATGGGAAACAAATAATCATAATAACAAATAATCATAATCTTTGTTATTTTGAATAAACGAAACTGTCATTTCATGACAAGAGAGAAGAATTAAAATATCACTGGAACCTTGGAGCTCACAGCTGTGTGGCAAAATAGCAAGTAGCCAAGTATGATTAAAAGTCACTAAAATCACATCAGCATTTACTGCAGTGAAATCACCACGTCCCAGAAAATGTTCATGCTTAAAAAACACTAAAAATCAGATCTTGTCGAATGTGACTCTGTTGATGACATATCACGGATAAATAAATTAAACAAATTAACTCAACACAGTAGTCATAAGACAGTTACAGTCTGTGTGACAGATGATTGTCCTTGAATTAAATCGTTGCCTATCTCTCATATCAGTCGGTTAAACATTTCGAGACTTTCAAGTTTCCACACTCCTTGGAAAGTACTGCTACACAATCTTGGCACATTCCAGAATTTTGTTTTGTCAGTTTTCAGATTCATTCAAAATATCTTTTAAAGTTCACTCAGAAATGTATTTTTTAAAGCTGCTTTCTCTTTTTATCGGTCGTTAGATGTTCATTGCTCTGATATAGCTTGCAATGAGATGGTAGCAACAACAAACAGACATAAGGCATAAGAACTGTGATGGGAAAGCCACCAGATCCATACCCATAATTGCAGTTATCCCTCGCCATAACACCCGTCTTGAGGTTCATGGCTGATCCCCCGAGCTATGAGACACCCGCATAATACATAACCATAACCCGGAATAAAGGCCAAGTAAAAATTATTTTCCATGGACATATTTCGTGTATTGTGCCCAGTCAAAACTATATCGTATTGTCTGAGGTGAAAAAAACACATTTTGTAAATGAAAATAAATATGTGTATAGGAAACCTGCAATCAAATTAAAAATCACTGAGCGCGATAATTCAGTTGTCCTTCCTGTTATGCTACCTGCTATTTAACTAAGCTGGAAATATCAATCAGCTGTGTACTCATGTTTTGCTCCAATCTACTGGTGATTCAGTAAAAAAATGACCTGAAAATATAACATCAAAGGATTATCTATCTACGCAGCAGGGATATTATATATTGCTAATATAATGGATGTTTTCTTAGAACCTATTTAGCATAATAATTAACATAGGTTCAGCACTTTGGGTTACGTGGCTGGATACATTTTACGTATGAGACAGTTTGACAAGTCACTGTTGACTTCCCGCGGTACCTGTCTCTTTGATTGTAAAAACACAATATTGGCAATTCATTGTGAAATATGACTTCAATGAGTCAATAACGCGGGTCTTGGGGTCCATGGATGATGAGGCGGTAATCTGTTTGTGATTGCTGAGAATAATGTGAAATTGGTGCTAACGCGGTAGGCTGAAAAGCGGACCCTTATGAACAAGGTAAGCAGAAGTGGTACGCGTATAAAATGAGGTGATGTCATTTCACACACGTTTTCTCCAATGTTACTGTAAACAGTTTTAATAAATGAAAATGGGATTAAATTTAATCAAATAAAATGAAAAATCGGGGTAGATCGTTTTATTATGACTTTTCTGACATCATACATTTTCGGATGGCAGTGTTTACCCACACTATAATGCGGTGTTTTGCATCACAGCAAACATCGTAAGTACTTGGCTTATGGTGTGTATTTATGATAAAGTTGACTTCAATAAGTTATTACGATGTTTTGCTGTTCTTCTGATTTGAACCAACTGAAAAGAAACAGAACACAGCTATTGATTTGGTATCTGAATTTTGCTGTCTTGCTGACTTTGTAAGTAGAAGACTTGAGGCAATCTCGAACTTACTTCCAGGAAAATAGCGGCCGTCAAGCAAAGAAATGCATAGATTTTGACCAAATGATTCGATTTCTAGACATTTTAGAAAAGGTTTAAAATGATTAATAAAATGCCGGTACGAAAACCGAAAAAACCCTGAAGTTTTGGATTGCATTACGGTATACCGAACCGAAGGCAAAATACAGAAGTATCTACTAATACCGTGGTATACCGTTTCACCCCTATTCTAGAAGTGATTGTTTTGTGTTAAATGCATATTTTATGGTTATGCTTAGACACAAAATGATACCATATGTGGATAGGAAAGATTATTTCTGTCCTTTGGATAGCCAATTGTGCCAAACGAGAAAGCAGATTGGGTCAGGTTTTTTTTAATGATCTTATTTAAAGTTGCTATGACTGCAGGCTCGTAGTATTTATTTTTAATTATATTACATTATATTATATTATACATATTAATGTTTGGGGTACAATGTGTGAAGCATTTCTGGTGTCCTTGCCATGATATTGCTGGAGTGGTTAAAGCTCATCCATGCTGTTGTATTCATGAAACTGCAGCATGGGTTCGATTCCCTAGCACATGAACATCCACAATGTGTGAATCCCATTTCTGGTGTCCTCAGCCCGTGATGTCCTCCGCTGTGATGTTGCTGAATATTGCTAAAAGAGACGTAAAACTATACTCACTAGTGAAGGCAGTTCTTTATTTGCTTGCTTTGTGTTTACAGCTAAACAGTGGTACCTCCAATATCGATATTCAGGACGAACCCCCCAATCTGCTCCAGCAGCCCCTGGCCATGGGCTACATGTTGTCCACGGCAGGGGCAGGACCTCTGCCCAAGTGGTTTTGGTCTGCATCTCCAGAAAATGAATATGTCTCCCCAACAGTCTTCAAGGTGAGATTCAAACACAGACTTCTCAGTTCCAAAGTTTGGGGAAACTACACAAAAATAAATATGTTTACATTTGCTTTGTATCTGTTTAGTGCTCAGTGTTAGTAGTCAAATGTATTGGATGATAATGATTGTGTTGGTGATGATGATGATAATGGTGTGATGATGATGATAATGGTGTGATGATGATGATGGGTGATTAATAAGAAAGAATCCTCATCATGTAGAAGTGCGTGCACAAGTCTGCAGATCAGTGTGCATACCAGTTGCATTCTCTGTGCCATGGGGATATTCATCCCAAATTAACTGAAAGGTTTGCTTTCACATTACAATTGCCACCTACCGGGTACCCATTCACCGCCAGGGGCGGTGGGGTAGTCTTGTGGTTAATGCGGTCGCTCGTCACACTGAAGACCCGGGTTCAATTCCCCACATGAGTGTGAAGCCCATTTCTGGTGTCCCCCACCATGATATTGCTGGAATATTGCTAAAAAGTGGCGTAAAACCCAACTCACTCACCCACTCTTACAGTCTTGAATTAGCCCAGTCCAGACTTGATTATTGACAAGTTGCTTGATATAGCTGGAGTATTACAACTGGTTTCAAACTCATTAACTCATTAAGGGTGCTTTGTGTTGTATGGAAATTCAATGGCACCTGCTTGTGTTTGTCCTTAGGCCGCTCTACACATCAATTCATCCTCCAAACAAGATGACTTCATGCCTCACCCTCAGGATCGCAACTCTCATGCCCTTGACTCCCACCTCACATGTGATGTGCTAAGGTTTGTACAACCACCACAGTCTTTTCTATCACAAGGGATCAATATTACAGTGTAAAACACTGAAGGATCTTTTTAACCAGGTCAATTATCATTTAGTAATTGTTTTCTTAAAGGAAATTGAATTGTTTGAAAAGTTTTGATCAATATGTATTGTAAATATATAAATAGCACAATTGCCAACGGCTGAAGTGATGTTTTAAAACCAGCTAGGGTCCATACAGGAAGCAAAAGTACTGTAAGTCCCCATGGTGCTTAGTATGGTGATCTACATTCAGTTGTTGGCGATATAGAGTCTGTGTTTATATTGTATTGTCTTCAATAGTTAAAAGTTTTAGATTTATATACTTGTTTTACATGTGATAATTTAGTTGTTTTTGCTGTCCGCCGTTGACATGTTTTTATAATTAAATGTTATGTATTATGAATGTATAACTTGTTTCAGTGACGATATGGCTGAAATACTGCCGAGGTGACATAAAATCGTAACTAACTCACTCACTCACAACTTGGCATTTTGCAGTGTTTTTAGTGAGTCCTACTGTTGTCAGACAGTACAACAGAACAGTAATCTGTACAGAAAGGTCGCACTCACAAAGTAACTGATATTATTAGACTCAACAGACTTCCACACTTAGGGCAGGTGTGGTAAATGCTCTCTCAGTTCACGTTTAAAACACTTTCTCAGTGATGATTATATGAGCTGTGTAATTTCAGGGTAGGACAGATGTGTGAGAATGTGAAATGTTTCCTGCTTGCTTCAGAGAATATTAGGGGCGGTGGGGTAGCCTAGTGGTTAAAGCGTTGGCTCGTCACGCCGAAGACCCGGGTTCGAATCCCCACATGGGTACATTGTGTGAAGCCCATTTCTGGTGTCCCCCGCCGTGATGTTGCTGGAATATTGCTAAAAGCGGCGTAAAACCAAACTCACTCACTCACTCAGAGAATATTGGCCATACAATATAGATTTTGTTTTATTGTTACAAATTTTGTTTTATTGTAAAATCGTTTTTTTTATTAGGAACACTTAAATAGTAGGGCATCATTGGAGTGCAAAATGAGAGAAACCTGAAAATAGAGTATTGATTAATTTGGAAAGGTTAATGTGCGATTTTTCTGCAATTATCTATGTGCAATCATTGAACCAATTTTGTCAGGGATATTCACCTCAAGTGTAGGGTGGTGGGGTTAACTTGTTCGCTCGTCATGCTGAAGGCCCGTGTTCGATTTCCGACATGGGTACAATGTGTGAAGCCCATTTCTGGTGTTCCCCCGCCACAATATTGCTAAAAGTGGCGTAAAAATAAACTCACTCATTCCTCCAAATGTACTCATGCTGCACTGTGTGTCTGTTACAGGTTTGTGCTGGAACACTACAACGCCCTGTCCTGGTTGACGTACGACCCAGCCACCAATGATCGCCGCTCGTGTCTGCCCATTCATCTAGTCGTGTTAATGCAGATGTATCATGCCCTCAATGCCTTTGTGTGACCACTGCCAAGTCAAAATGGCATCCTGAAAAGTCTTGCCAGAATTGAGGGGACCGTCATGTCCATATTTCCCCTTATCAAGCTGTGAGTTGCTGTGATGCTCCTTTAATGGAAATTCTCGTGTCAGATCTAGCAAAAAAGGTGTTTTTGGTTGTCTGTATATTTGAATATTTTGCCAAAATACCCCAAAAGGTTATCCCAATACTTACGATACCTCCCATGTGACTAAAATGGCCGCAATTAATGGCAGCAACGGAAATCTATCTCTGAGAGGCAGCTATTGTGAACCAGTGTGGATATTCCTGAATTTTGAGGGCAGTGCTATGACCAGTGGCAGGCACGACCTGGATTGGTCAAGGTCATGAGGTCAAGGTCAGTCAAGACAATCTCAGCTTACTGTGTGGGGCTGAAAGATGGAGCTTTACCTGGACGTGCTCTGACAGAAATGTGATTCCTGAATTGTGATACTGAAGGTCATTGATGGACTGTGAAAGACTGGAAGAATACACTCGTGAATATTACAAGCCCGGTTTCTTATTTTTATAGATACACTTCATTCCCACTATCTTCATAAATATATTTTGATGACCTACTTACAGACATATGGAAAAGAGTAAGTTTGTGAACTTATGACATACGCTATGAAACATGAACAGGTTATTTCAAATGTTCACTATGTCCTGCTAGAATACAGTTCTCAATATCTTCTCATTCGTCGATATCTATACATAAATGTATGTACATGTTAGTGAATGGTTTAGGTTGAGTATTTTATGAACAGATGGGTTACTTTGTGGCCATTATTTCTATAAATATGGTGTTAGCTATCTGGAATGATATTTTGAACAAATAAAGCAATTGATTGTCAATACCTGTGATTGTTTAAATCAAAATATACAAACCCATGGAATATTGAAAATGTTCCAGTAATGTGATAACCAACAACGTTTATCAAAACCACATATTATGACAGGATTCAGGAAATCCTGTTCAATTCTGCTTATAAAAGGCAGGTCCTGTCTTCGCTTTTGAAGCAAGTAATAAATCGTTTTAGAGACGTTTCTTAAAAATGTAAAATATAAAAGCATTCTGAAATATTTTTGCATGCATACTTTTTGAAATTCATCGCATGAAACAAATTTTAGAGGACTTTTACAACAGAGTTTGAATATGCACATTTAATACTTCATGTAACACATGGCATTTATTGACTGAAAATGTTGCCTGTTGTGTGTTGAGGGCTGTTGGTTTAACAGTGCCGAACAGCTTGTACTGTGAGAGTCTGATGACCACAGACCTAATTTCAGTGCAAGTTGTTTGCATAAACAAAGTGAATGTTTTGATTGTGCATCACAGGCTTGCAAATTATCTATACTCAACCAAAAAAAGTTAAGGACCACCCAATATTCAATATTTAAGTACTAAATGGATCATACTATGAACTACTGAATACTTTAATATGGAAATTGGGGTGGTCCTTCACTTTTATTGTTGAGTATATAATGCTAAAGTTTTGATATTTGGTTGACCTCTGAACCATCCCCAAATTATTTTTGAAAATAAACCATAGTGAATATATTTTAAATTATAGGAGTACTTAAGAGTCGTTTTGAAGATGTTTTATGAGATGAAACAAACCAAGTCTTCACTATGGATTGAATCTGATTGTAGTTTTCTTCAGTACATGTTCAGCGACGTTTTGAGTATACCTCATTCAGAGACAAAACATTTAATCACTGAAACTATAGTGTCCATGTCCTCAAGTTAAGGGGTTAGTTTTTGCGGGAGAATGAAGTATGAAATGAACGCTTTAGTATCTTAACAGTACCTAATGGTATTTGCCAAATAATTCAATCAGTTTGAGAGTTTATTTCATGGTACCATAGACAAAGTAAGTCTTTCTGAAACCTGACTTGTATACAAAACTCAAGCAATAAAAAATCGCAGCAATTTATTTTAACCAAAATGGTTTGAAATAGTATGAATTCTTAATTTTGTTTATCATTTGAAAATGGAAAGTGGTTTCCTTTTAATGTGATGAGAATTCTTTCACTTAATAACCTTTCCTTCACTTAAAGCAAGTGATACCAGCATCTCTTCTACATTCTGTAAATATGGTAAATGACTAGCAAATCTTTATAGAGTAAATCTTTGATATGTTTTGTGGTCAATACTTATTCCTTGTATCTGTTGGCAGCCCTGCTTTTTTGTATTGACAACCGACCCATGTTATTTCTAAGTAAAAATTTCGTCACGATATGGCTGAGGTATTGCCGATGTGACGTTAAATCTTAACTCACTCACTCTAAATAAAAATGCATGCCAAAAGAGAGATAAGAACAGCATGAAGTTTTGAGAGACTTCACTTCCTTTCTGTGTGCAGTTATGTTGAAGTATTATCAAAAGTAAACTAGTCCAACTAAGGTGTAGACATATTCCTGGTTTCCAGGACCTGTGTCATCAAACACCCCTCTGAAGCATTTTGTTTCAGCTAAAAACCAAAAAATGGTAATTCTGACCCCAGCCTCTTTAATTTCACATTTGCGTTGAAGGCTACTCCCACGTTTTCCAATTTCAGTTCTTGAACACCAATAACAGTATCATTAAGGCCAGACCAATTTTATTTCTTGTTTTATGGACCTGCTGGTCATATTTTTTTCAAGAATAAGAAAAAAGTAATAATAATAATTTTCCCCGCTCAAAAAATAAACTTATATTCTTATTGGCAAAAATTATTTTTAGATTGTTTTTGCTCCATATACACTTCATAAATTGCCAAAAGTAAAATACTTTTAGTATTTCAGAGGAATATTACTTTGACTGGTGATATTAAAAAATCTAAATTCCAAACAGCCTTTAGGTTTTCTGATGACAAAAATCCATAAAATAGATAAAATTGGTCTTGCTTGAGCAACTTTTAAAACTGACAAATTTCCCTTGCACATATTTTTCTAATATTGATACTTAATAATATAAGTAAAGAATAGTTAACAGATGAACAGTATGTTATAAAGATGTAATAAGTGACAAATTGGTGAGAATTATGTATACCTCATCGCACATGCGAACCAGACAATTTTTTAAGGTTGCTTCGTTTACTGTAGATGCTAGAACATTAAACACTGGAGCATTACCTGAGTTGTCATCCTTATTCCAGTAGACAGCGCTGTCCATCAATGTCGGTTTCATTGGAAGGGTAATTATGTAAGGGTCAGCATTCTTATGTTACAGTCCATAGTAATGACTGAAATGTGCAATGACTTGTTTGCATATGGGTGTATTTAAGTATGATATGGTCTTGTATTGACAACACTGAAGGATTCCACATGTCATTTGTGTGTCATAGTGTACATTGTTCATGGATCATTGTTACCCTCTGAAGCTGCAGCTGCAGCCAAAGAAGAGATGACCAGCACAAACTGATCTGATTTCTGTAAATATTTTTGTTATTTGCAATTAAAGATGTAAAATCAAACTACATCAACATAACCCCAGTTCACATTGTTAAGTTTATGGTTGAAAATCTCTGCTGAGTTGACGGACAACTGTTATGTTATTTAACTACTCGGAGGGTAATAGGATGCTCAATATTATTCCCCTATGGCTAATGATGTACATGTGGCACCTGTTTCACTATGCTGGATGTACATATCGTGTGTCAGTACTGTTTGTTATAAGGTGTATGGGGAGGGGGTGAGTGATGTACATTACTTGAAGAAGTGCTAGTTATTTCATCTAGCACCAGTATTATAGCTCCAGCAGAGATTCCTCCATTGTTTATGTCCTCCAGAACGAGATTTTCTACTTTTGGCTGGATGTGACTGTTCACAGTTGTCGTGTAAATAGTAGCCCACTATGACAAGCTGTGATGTACATCTCTATCATGTCAGTTTTCACAACTTTTCTCAGATTGTATGTATTTAAAATAAAATTTGATCATAACTTATTTTTCGTAGCTAGTACATATCGTACAAATACTAGCTCATGAAAATAAATTGAAGACAAACAAAAGTTTGGAGTATGTTGTCTTTTCCTTAGATGCAAGATAGCTTACTGTTATTTAATGATCATTTCATGTGGATACTCACCATAATGTGACTGGGAGGTCTGTCTCTTCAGTCATGCTTGCAGAGTTGAGGCCCTTAGCAGTGCCAGGATTTGCTGGTCTTTGATTAGAAAAATGCTGCCTTGAGCCTTGGTTTGTCATCATGAACTGTGGAAATTGTTTTTACTGGATCACTTGCAGCTAAAGTCTTCTTCCACCTGGAATACTGTTTAGGGTGGTATTAGGATCAATGCATTCACTTGAAACAATAGTTCCGTTCTATATATCACAAGTGTGGCAAGTATAGTGCTAAGATAGCATTGTGGGACATTCCAGGAACTGTTTGTTTGAGTTTAGATATAATGGGGTGCCCGAAGAGGTCAAATATCTGAGGATGTGTTTACAGACTCAGGACAATTTGTCAAAAATGAAAGCAGCACCTGAAGTTAACTAACAAAATATGTAATATGGGAGTAAGACTCTTGAGGCAAGAAAGAGGCATCCACACAACTGTCCTTCCCTCCTCGTTCAATAAAGAGGTCAAATGGCCAGATCCTTTTCACAGATTTGTAACCCAGAACTGAAAACACGGGAGATCAGTGACACTGCCTTGTCTGTTTCACCTTTGTCTATGTAAAAAGATTGGCAGTGACAATGATTGTGTCAGAGATTTCTTATGAATGTGGAAAGGGTTTTGTCTCTTCTATTTCCCAAAGGAGATATAAAAGAACGCTGAATGGCTCATGCCTAAACGTTACAACCTTCAAAGACTCGGAAAGCTTTCAAAAGGTTTTGTGGAAGTGTGCTGGGAATTTCCAAGTTTGTAGCATCAGTGACAAACAATAAGTCCGATGCAGTCCTTAATTTTGAAGTGTACCATGTGTCCTCAACCACAGGTGAAGAATTGACTTTGCGTGAGTCGTTGATGGCTGCCACTTGCGGGTACAGCTGCATCCTCAACTGTCTTTTACAAGTGTAGAAATGTTGTACCTTGAATTCCATACCTGAGTGGTGTTACTTATGTTTCCATATTGACTTCGAATAAATATTTTCTGCTTGGAATAAGATCTGTAAGGAATCTTCACTCCCAAGAAATCGTCCAAGGATGGGGTGTTGGTCGGAAATGATAGTGCTCTGGTTAGCAATCTCTTGCTGCTTCCCATCAGATGAAGCAGGCCGAGAACATGAAGCATTTTCCCCTAGTTCATTCCCTCCCAAGGGGATTGAAAAGGAAGGTGTGTTGTGTTAAGTGGGTAACCACCTGGATGCACAGCCAAGGGATCACCCGATCAGAGTTGCTGAAGAGCAGGCTGTTTATCGACCCTGATTCCACCTGTTCCCTTCAAAATCCGCAGTTCTTTCCAATTTATTCGAAATATGCGCTATCAGCAATCAGTGTCACATTCTCTTCCCACAGAGGTTACTTGTTCCTACGAACCTCTGTTCTAATACGGCCCTTTCATGGTGCGAATGTTCAGGATTCGTGATTGGTTGCAATCAGATTTAGTTGTGCAATCAGCGAAGTTGTTTCCAAAGTGATCATTCGCAAGGCCTCGGTAATTTCCGTATGCTTTGGGAAAACTAGAACCTCTTCCCCTCCGCGATGCTCATTTCTTCTAGACAGAACTCAGTCATGTAATGGTGGATCAATGGCGTCACCACCGCCTCTCGTTAACAACGGACAAGCTAGCCATTAAATGTCTTATGTGTCACATCAACACAAGTCCCTGGCAGAGGAGGGATATTTGTGGCCCCATATTTGCTTGCATTAGTCAAGTTGGATCTAAGTCGATGTAAAACGTGTTCTGATTGGATAGAAAGAAGGGAGATAATTCGTGTTGCGATTTTTTGCCGATAGGGGATTTTACGAGAACCGGGAAATATGGCCGTATTAGAACAGAGGTTCGTAGGAAGGTATGACAAGTAACCTTTGTGGGAAGAGAATGTCAGTGTCATTGAGTAACATTTTTCACCAACAACTGTTCACTGAAGGGATATCTCACTTTTTCAAAGAACAGTCTCCCACAACTTCATGCTGTGCTTCTTAGAGCACGAGATCCACGTTACTAATTGCAAGGGCAGTGAGGATTTTCCCACAGGTTTCTGTCTTGACAACGTGAGAGATGTTACGCTTCGTACAGCTCTCGCCATCAGAAAGAGGATGATGCAGACTTTTCCATGCAGAGCTCTCGTCGAGCAAGAGATATTGCTCGAATATCGTACTCACTTGAATAGGTCCCTGTGATCTTGTAGGTGGGCCGCACAGATCAAGCTTACAGGCTCACCTCACATGGCTGACACTCAGTAGTCTCACTGTCCTTATGAGGACACTGCATCACCTAATGCAGGAACAGATACTTTACCTTTGGATAAATGTATTAAGTTCATAAGTAGAGATCTTTGAAAGAGTCGTGCTATGTCTAGTTTCCTCCTTAAGGATCCCTGTGAGCCTTCTGCCTTTGTCCCCACTGTTGACTGTGCACTCGGAAAGCGTTTTTGTCATACTCTTTCAGGTTCTGCAGCAACTGCAATGTCTTTAAGTGAGTGAGTGAGGTCAGCAATATTCCAGCTATATGGCGGTGGTCTGTAAATAATCGAGTCTGGACCAGACAATCCTGTGATCAACAGCATGAGCATCGATCTACGCAATTGGGATACGATGACTTGTCAACAAAGTCAGTGAGCCTGACCACCCGATCCCGTTAGTCGCCTCTTACGACAAGCATGGGTTACTGAAGATCAATATTCCAAGCCGGACCTTCACGGGTCACAATATCTTTAAAGCTAAGGACGATAGACTGCTGTTCCTGCTCACTAACAAGCAGGTCCTCGACACCCATGAGGCACGAATTATCGTAGCTCCTACCATTGATGAGGACCATGACAAGTTAGTTAGGAACAGGAGATATGCCATAAAAATACCACAGCATTCGGGACACAGAGTACTGTTAGTGACTGACGAGACCATCGTTATAGGTTACATCCAGAGGGAGGAAGGAAAAAATATTAACAGAACGTGGTTACGCTTTTGTTCAGATTGACGGACTCGATCAGTTGCAGAGTAGAACCTTGTCACTTACCGGAGAAGATCAGCATCTTAGTAGATTGCCTTACCCAAAGAACAAGGGCCATTCCGACAGAATTCTCACTCACCCAGAAGTGTTCCCATGGATTATCACGGGCCTCATTTCGATCTCTCCCTATTTGTCTGAACATCATGTTACTTCAGTCAGCTACCAGACCCTCACAGTTTACAAATTCTTGGCAATGGTGTGCTGCATTTCGAATCGCTCCTGACACGATTCTCGGAGAACCGTCCAGAGTTTATCGCTAAGGATCAGCCCTCAGTAGTTGGACAACTTGAGCACAGAAAATACTCAACCCCTGTGTTAAACAAGAACGTGGATTTACGAACACTATAATAAGAAACATATAGGCAATACCAAAGGAGACGTTTACAGAGCCAAATGTGCTCTCTTCAGAAATACATATTATACTCTTTAAAAGTAGAGGAACTTCATTTTTGATTTACGATTGAAAAAAAATGGGAGATATATCGGGAGTCAATCAATGTTGATGTGATAATAATGAATATTTTGAAAGTGCATCACCACTTGCACTTCCTTATGACCATAGTTGTTTGTACAGTAATTGCTCTTGAAAGATGATTGGTGTTTGATGTGAAAATGGCATGTGTACGATTTTCATTTTCAAACAAAGCAACCAACAAACAAAAAACGTCTGGAAACAAACACTAAAAACATTGTGATGCAAGATGATTGTCATAATTAATGGTCTACAGTGATTTATCGACCTTCTTGAAAACAGTAAAAATCAAGAATGACACCCCATGTACTTGTATGGGGCTACTGCGTTGTCCGTCTAAGTAAACTTAAGCTCAGTATTATTCGTTACACTGCTATACTACGCTATCAGTATCGCAACCATCTACCATTGATTTGCGATACTGATAGCCCTGTCATCAAGGTTGAACTTAAGCACATAGCAAAAAGCAATTACCATTCATTATTGCTGTTTGTGGATTTTGTTGCAATAAAAACGCATGGTTAATGTGAAAGTAGATATGTTCTAGCATCAGTAGTGGCATTAAGTAATTTCAGTTATGTCCACAAAGACCATTTATATGCAAATGTAAACTGACGCCAATATTTCTAACCTACATTTCTTCCTGCACTGACAGCTCTTGTCCTTATATTTTGACTCAATGAACGTTTATAAATGAATAGTCTTTGAACATTGTTCGACGTGTAATATCTACCAACCAATTCTGCAGAATGTGTGAATGTAATAATATTGAAAATGAATAGAATGTTCTTCTCATCTGTCCCCATTATGAAGATCTAAGGAACCAATATATAATTTAAGTATACTGTCCCAAAATCTACAAATTCTGTATACTATCAACGCGTACATATGCTCAACAGGGAAACTACGTCAGAATTAAGACAAACAATACGTTGACGAAGACGAGGGTATAGGTTGAGTTCAAACGTCTTTAGTTAACTATACAGTACATGATAAACAAGTATACATGAATGAGGTAAGCAGAGTACCTGCTCAACCCCAGGGCGTTTCCTACGAGCGGCATTATACTACTCACGGTCCTCCCTACACAGGCAGTCGGAATACCGGACTGGTGACAGTATAGATAGTGCGGTAGTGATAAGGATTAAGTATACACATTAGAGTCATATAAATAATTACAATTACTAAGTCTCACATGGCTTGGCCACATAGGTTTTGGTCTTAAGAAACATTTGGACGATGGCCTTCCTGAGCTAGACGCCATGACAATACTAATGTCAACTGAGAATGTCCAGCCTCGACACAATGTGGCTATGTTAATGCACCATGCACTGTACATACGAGAACGTGCATGTGCCACTCCCCCCATTATAACCGTTTCTATTTCAGATGGTTTGACTCAATGAACGTATATGAGTACATTACTGCAACCACTAATGTGATTACCTCACAGGTGGTCACTATGGAAACTAATGGTTCGACGTGTAATATCTGACAAATCAATAAATGTTAAGTATTGAACAAACACATATTTCTCTTCACTCAAATAGCTGTCACGATTGACTTGTTTTCAGGTTGGAATATCCATTGTTTCGACATGCACATGAAATGTTTTACCATTCATTCCGTAATGGTTATAACACCACGCATTCTTTCTCTGAGATTCCAAGTACAAAGCAAACCTTTTCGGCTTCTAGTGACACATCATCCAGAAAATGAGTATTTTGCGCTATCAGTGATAATGTGGAAAAACGTCAATCCCCAACAATGTAACGATAGCAACGAGCAGAAAACAGAGACTCAAACGATTCAGCAAACCATAACAGATAAACCAAATGAAAAATCCTGTATAAATGACATTGTACCAGTTCATAGAGAGACAGACATCAACCGCAAGGAGGCGAGACGTTTGTGTTTTGGAAGCATACTAACTTCACATTGCCAGTTTACCATCCAATACAGAGGAAGCCTCACCACCATGTTTCTGAATGTGTTCGTTCTGCTACATGCCCTGTCCATGGCATGCGGAACTGACTTTTCGCCTCTGTACAAGTTACATGAAACAGTCACCAAAGGCTACAATCCACACATTCGACCTATCAAAAACCCCAGACTGGCTACAAATGTGACGGTGGATTTTACGTTGTTTTCTGTGGAGGAGGTAAATGAGGCCAGTGAAACTTTAACCTCGTTTGGGACTTTCAACATCACGTGGTACGACGAGTGGTTCGTTTGGAACATTTCAGATCATGCCAACATTCAGAAAATGTACTTGCCACTACATCAAGTGTGGAAGCCAGATCTGGTTGTGGCAAATGCCGTTGAGGACTTTCGCTTTTTGTCAGATACAGAAGGACTCGTGTCTGTCTCGAACACAGGATTTGTCACCTGGTACCGGACGATAAGACAGATCACTAAATGCTCCATGGACATGAGCAGGTTTCCCATAGACAAACAGACGTGTAGCCTGCGTATTTCTCAGTGGACATCCAATAGTAATAATGTGTTTGTGCAAGGTGGGTCAGTGATGTCAGTGATGTCAGACTACACTTCATTTCAAAGTCGAGGGGAATGGATAGAAAGGGAAACGGGTACCAAAACAAAAACTCTTTTCCTCGGGGAAACAACATGGAACGTAATTTCGTTTACATTTACCTTCCAACGGAAGCCCCTGCACTTTGTGATCACAAGTGTCCTGCCTGTCTTTCTGCTGTCGGTTCTCAATCTGGGCGTGTTTCTTCTTCCTCCTGAATCAGGGGAGAAGATCTCGCTATGTATCTCAGTGTTCTTGTCTTATGCCGTCATCCTGACAGATATCAACGAAGATCTACCCCATTCATTCGACTCACTTGTTACCTTCAAAGTCTATCTTCTCACGATGCTGTTGGTCAAAGTGATTACTGTTTTGGCCACCGTCGCCATCTTGAAAAGGTATCACGCTGAGATGAGCGCTCATCAGCTGTCGTCTGCTTCATCCCAGGAAGGACTTGATGGTGGAAATTCAGTGCTTGATGATTGTAAAGGAAAGTATCATGAAAGGAAGATGTCAGCAGATGCTCTGAACAGAGTATGTTTTCCAGCCATCAGCTTGATAATGATTGCCACAACAGCAGTTTGTTTAGCTCTCTTACTGTTTTGATCTGTCCTGCTGGAGCAAATCTGACATGACAATGTTTGATGTGATAAATGTAAATAATAGTGATTTATTATTATTATTTTATTATAATTTATTTATATAGCGCCGAGTTCCAGCTAGGCTGTTTTTCCCTCGATCATAGGATGTCAGTCTCAAGCGCACCGAGTTAATGTGGCTTTCCCATCCTTACGAGGTACCCATTCACAGCTTTGTCCAAGTTTACTGCACGTTGCTGCAACTAGGTTGCAAACTAGGTGTTTGCACGTATTCATGTGGCCACCATCTTGTCATATACCAACGGATTGTTGTGACAACACTGAAAGAGTCTGCACACAAAGTTGACTCCAAGGTTTTTCACACCCTGTCACAGGTGGGCTCTATCCCGGCACCTCAAACTCGCTGGATTACTAGCCTGGCGCCTTAGCCAGCTCGCCCACCACGCCCACTACCAGGTAGACTCATTTTTAGTGAACGTATGGATTTTGTAAATTCACACCAGTCGCAATGTGTTTGAGCACTTGCCACGATGAATACTTTCTCATGTACTTCAAGACATGAAGATAGATTTAATTAGATGTGATAAACCCCACCCCATTATAATAATGAATCTCCATTGTGCATGTCAAAGTATATACGAAACATGTGTTGATATTATTAACGATTTAAATTTTATCTGAAATGGTAGTAGAGGGTTGTTACGTCAACGAGTGTATGTAACAGATTATGCTTTGTGAACCGTACAATTCATATTATCAATCACAAATGTACTGTTATACATTAAAAACTTCAATGCCAGATAATAACCAATCTGATTTATCCATTTCAATTGTTAGACAAAAAATGCTGTATGTAGGTTTGAACTTTGGATTCAACCACACATGATTTGGGCATGTATTATTGCAGGAATAAAAACCTGCCCCACCACCGCACTTATGAGGACATTCCAACATGTATTGCTGAACTGTTTCAGGTGTTGTATCACTACATTGGTCACATCCGTATGTACAACACATGTGTAGTCTTCTTTGTGAATCATTGCCAAGACAAAGCCAAGCAAAGATGACTTCATTCACGTACGCCTGTCGCTGAAGCAATTTGTAACGTTTTGGGTAGCTGATGGTCACAATCGTTGTCATCCCACAAATGATGTCCCGTCTTGGAGACTACCTTCACATTATATTTGAAATCTATTTGGACAGGCCAGCAATTCTAGTTCGTTACCTTGAAGACCATTTTCCAGAATATGACGTGTTGAGGTGCATAAACACGAGTTGTTAACTGTTTCTTTTGAGTACTGTATGGTCTTCAGAGATGCAAAATGCCTTGTAGATGCTATCTCTCAACTGATGTAGCGGGTAGGGCCATAGGTTTAAATGAAGCTTATCTGAGAAAATATGAAGTCGGACGTTGGTTTAGCGTCAGACATAGCATAATCATTAGATTGTGGGAAAGGTATCAGACGATCACGTCTGGCTTGAAACAGGAGGATTCAAAATGATACCGATGAATCACAATCTAACACCAGATCGGTTCACGATGAAACATTCATTTCAATGCAGAATGTAATGAAAACATCAGACCAACTCTGTTGCATACCGTTTGTCTCCAAAATATAAAAGTTACTTAACAAACTATCATCATTTTGTTTAGATTTTCCGAGTGAAGTTTTACGAGGGTAAAGTAACAGTAGTACTGTTGCAGGAACAGCCCCCCAGGGCAGGAGGCAGCGAGTGAATGAACTTATAGAGGAACAAGGGAATGTTGGAGCACACAGCCCCAAACCGCGCAAGTGTCTTGAAAAAGATCAGACTTGGTGAGGTGGCGTTTAGAAGAAGATCAGGCTTGGTGAAGTGGCTTTTAGAAGAATATCAGACTTAATGAGGTGGGTTTTGGATCAGACATGATTAGCTGGCTTTTAGAAGATCAGGCTTGATGAAGTGGCTTTTAGAAGATCAGGCGTGATGAAGTGACGTTTAGAAGTTCAGGCCTGATGAGGTGGCTTTTAGAAGAAGATCAGACTTGATAGGTGGCTTTTATATCAGGCTTGATGAAGTGGCTTTTATATCGGGCTTGATGAAGTGGCTTTAGAAGAAGATCAAGCTTGATGAGGTGGCTTTTTGATCAGATTCGATGAGGTCGCTTTTAGAAGAAGATCTCGACTCGGTGAGGTGGCTTTTAGATCAGGCGTGATAGAGTGGCTTTTAGAACAAGATAAGGCTTGATGATGTGGCTTTTAGAAGATCAGACTTGATAAAATGGCTTTTAGAAGAAGACTAGGCTTGATGAGGTAGCTTTTAGATCAGGCTTGATGAGGTGACTTTTAGAAGAAGATCAAGCTTGATGAGGAGGCAATTAGATCAGGCTTGATGAGGTGGCTTTAAGATCAGGCTTGATGAGGTGGCATTTAGAAGAAGACCAGGCCTGATGAGGTGGCTTTTAGAAGAAGATCAAGCTTGATGAAGTGGCTTTTATATCAGGCCTGAAGAGGTGGCTTTTAGAAGAAGGCCTGATGAGGTGGCTTTTAGATCAGGCCTGATGATGTGGCTTTAGAAGAAGATCATGCTTAATGAAAAAGCTGCAGAAGAAGATCGTGCTCAATGAGGTGGCTTTTAGAAGAAATCTCGCTTAATGGCGCAGCTTTAAAAGAAAATCAAGCTTGATGAGATGGCTGTAAGAAGAAGATCAGGCTTAACGAGGCGGCTTTTAGATCAAGCTGAATGAGATGGCTTTTAGATCAGGGTTGATGAGGTGGCTTTTAGAAGGAAATTAGGCTTGATGAGGTAGCTTAAAGAAGAGAAGATCAGGCTTGATGAGGTGTCTTTTAGAAGAAGATCAGGCTTGATGAGATGGCTTTTAGATCAGACTTGATGAGGTGGCTTTAGAAGAAGATCAAGCTTAATGAAATGGCTTTTAGGAGAAGATTAGGCCTGATGAAGTGTCTTTAAGAAGAAGATCAGGCTTAATGAGGTGGCTTTAAGAAAATGATCAGGCTTAACAAGGCGGGTTTTAGAAGATCAAGCTTAGCGAGGCGGCTTTTAGAAGATCAAGCTTAATGAGGTGGCTTTTAGAAGACGATCAGGCTTGATGAGGCGAGGTGGTTTTAAGAAGAAGATCGGGCTTAACGAGGCGGCTTTAAGAAGAAGATCAAGCTTAATGAGGTGGCTTTTAGAAGAAGATGAGGCTTGATGAGGAATCTTTTAGAAGAAGATCAGACTTGATGAGGTGGCTCTTAGGAGAAGATCGAGCTTAATGAGGTATATTTTAGAAGATGAGGCCTGGGAAGGGGTTTATAAGAGGACATGTAGACTTGGTAGTCCCAGTCATGTCTTTCTAAGACAAACTTAATAGATCAAGCTTAATGAAGTTGCTTTTAGATCAGGTCTGATGAGGTGGCTTTTAGATCAGGCCTGATGAGGTGGCTTTTAGATCAGACTTCATGAGGTGGCCTTTAGATCAGGCCTGATGAGGTGGCTTTTAGATCAGAGTTGATGAGGTGGCTTTTAGAAGAAGATCAAGCTTAATGAGGTGGCTTTTAGAAGAAGATGCTTAATGAAGCAGCTTTAGATGAAGCTGGGCTTAACGAGGCGGCTTTTAGAAGAAGATCAAGCCTAATGATGTGGCTTTTAAAAGAAGACCAGGCTTGATGAGGTGGGTTTTAGGAGAAGATCGAGCTTAATGAGGTATATTTTAGAAGATGAGGTCTGGGGAGGGGGTTTATAAGAGGACATGTAGACTTGGTAGTCCCAGTCATGTCTTTCTAAGACAAACTTTATAGATCAAGCTTAATGAAGTTGCTTTTAGATCAGGTCTGATGAGGTGGCTTTTAGATCAGGCCTGATGAGGTGGCTTTTAGATCAGACTTCATGAGGTGGCCTTTAGATCAGGCCTGATGAGGTGGCTTTTACATCAGAGTTGATGAGGTGGCTTTTAGAAGAAGATCAAGCTTAATGAGGTGGCTTTTAGAAGAAGATCATGCTTAATGAAGCAGCTTAAGACGAAGATCGGGCTTAACGAGGCGGCTTTTAGAAGAAGGTCAAGCCTAATGAAGTGGCTTTTAGAAGAAGATCAGGTTTATGAGGTGACATTTAGAAGAATATCAGGCTTGATGAGGCGGCTTTATAAGACGATCAGGCTTGATTCGGTGGCTTTTAGATCAGGCTTGATGATGTGGATTTTAGAAGAAGATTAGGCTTGATGAGGTGGCTTTAAAAAGATCAGGCGTCATGAGATGGCTTTTAGAAGAAGATCAGGCTCGATGAGGTGGCTTTAAGAAGAAGATCAGGCTTGATTAGATGGCTTTTAGAAGAAGGTCAAGCTTGATGGGTGGGTTTTAGATCAGGCTTGATGAGGTGGCTTTTAGGTCAGGCCTGATGAGGTGGGTTTTAGATCAGACTTGATGAGGTGGCTTTTAGAAGAAGATCAAGCTTGATGAAGTGGCTTTTAGAAGAAGATCAGACTTGATGAGGTGTCTTTTAGAAAAAGATAAGGCTTAATGAGGTGGCTTTCAGAAGATCAGGCTTGACGAGATGGCTTTTAGAAGAAGGTCAAGCTTGATGAGGTGGGTTTTAGATCAGGCTTGATGAGGTGGCTTTTAGATCAGGCCTGATGAGGTGGGTTTTAGATCAGACTTGATGAGGTAGCTTTAAGAAGAAGATCAGGCTTGATGAGGTGTCTTTTAGAAGAAAATCAGGCTTGATGAGATGGCTTTTAGATCAGACTTGATGAGGTGGCTTTAGAAGAAGATCAAGCTTAATGGAATGGCTTTTAGGAGAAGATCAGGCTTGATGAAGTGTCTTTAAGGAGAAAATCAGGCTTAATGAGGTGGCTTTAAGAAAATTATCAGGCTTAACGAGGCGGGTTTTAGAAGATCAAGCTTAGCGAGGCGGCTTTTAGAAGATCAAGCTTAATGAGGTGGCTTTTACAAGACGATCAGGCTTGATGAGGTGGTTTTAAGAAGACGATCGGGCTTAACGAGGCGGCTTTTAGAAGATCAAGCTTAATGAGGTGGCTTTTAGAAGAAGATGAGGCTTGATGAGGAATCTTTTAGAAGAAGATCAGGCTTGATGAGGTGGCTCTTAGGAGAAGATCGAGCTTAATGAGGTATATTTTAGAAGATGAGGCCTGGGAAGGGGGTTTATAAGAGGACATGTAGACTTGGTAGTCCCAGTCATGTCTTTCTAAGACAAACTTAATAGATCAAGCTTAATGAAGTTGCTTTTAGATCAGGTCTGATGAGGTGGCTTTTAGATCAGGCCTGATGAGGTGGCTTTTAGATCAGACTTCATGAGGTGGCCTTTAGATCAGGCCTGATGAGGTGGCTTTTAGATCAGAGTTGATGAGGTGGCTTTTAGAAGAAGATCAAGCTTAATGAGGTGGCTTTTAGAAGAAGATCATGCTTAATGAAGCAGCTTAAGACGAAGATCGGGCTTAACGAGGCGGCTTTTAGAAGAAGGTCAAGCCTAATGAAGTGGCTTTTAGAAGAAGATCAGGTTTATGAGGTGACATTTAGAAGAATATCAGGCTTGATGAGGCGGCTTTATAAGACGATCAGGCTTGATTCGGTGGCTTTTAGATCAGGCTTGATGATGTGGATTTTAGAAGAAGATTAGGCTTGATGAGGTGGCTTTAAAAAGATCAGGCATCATGAGGTGGCTTTTAGAAGAAGATCAGGCTCGATGAGATGGCTTTAAGAAGAAGATCAGGCTTGATTAGATGGCTTTTAGAAGAAGGTCAAGCTTGATGAGGTGGGTTTTAGATCAGGCTTGATGAGGTGGCTTTTAGGTCAGGCCTGATGAGGTGGGTTTTAGATCAGACTTGATGAGGTGGCTTTTAGAAGAAGATCAAGCTTGATGAAGTGGCTTTTAGAAGAAGATCAGACTTGATGAGGTGTCTTTTAGAAAAAGATAAGGCTTAATGAGGTGGCTTTCAGAAGATCAGGCTTGACGAGGCGGCCTTTAAGAAGATCAAGCTTAATTATCTTCTTTTAGAAGAAGATGGCTTTTAGATCAGACTTGAAGAGGTGGCCTTTTAGAAGATCAAGCTTGATGAAGAGTCTTTTAGAAGAAGATCAGGCTTAACGAGGCGTCTTTTAGAAGATTAAGCTTAATGAGGTGGCTTTTAGAAGACGATCAGGCTTGATGAGGCGGCTTTTAGAAGAAGATCAGGCTTGATGAAGAATCTTTTAGAAGAAGATCAGGCTGGACGAGGTGGCTCTTGGAAGAAGATCAGACTTGATGTGGCTTTTAGAAGAAGATCAGGCTTGATGAGGTGGCCTTTAGAAGAAGATCAAGCTTAGTGAGGTATATTTTAGAAGAGCAGGCCTAGTGAGGGGGTTTATAAGAGGATATGTAGACTTGGCAGTCCCAGTCATATTTCTAAGACAAACTTAATACACTCTCTCAAAAAAGAAACGCAACCCCTGTTTTTTTTGGTAATGTTTATATCAATTTTAACTGGTTATTACATTTGTATTTTTAAAGATAATGCCATGAAATTTGACATGGTGAACCTTAGGTCAGCACGGTATAAGGTAACAGTTAATGCAGGTCAGTATCGAACTCTCAATTTACGCTAGGGGGCGTTGTCTTCAGTATCTCGTTGTAGAGCCACGAGCTCTAATCACAGCAGTGCACCTCCTCGGAACAGAACGAATGAGACGGCGGAATTCTGTAGGAATGCCACTGTTGCACGAGCTGTATGAGGGCGGGCATTGTCATGTTGAAACAACTCCCTCTGTTGGTCGATTATCGGCAGAAGATGTGGCTGTAAGACGTCATCAATGTACCGTTGTGCCGTCAAATTGCCACGAATGATGACC